TCCTTGATGGGAATGTATGCTTTATATGGACAATCATCCCATTGTCCACTGTGAATACACTCTCTGATAACTTCGAGTTCAGGATCATGTTCAGATTCTCTTTCGACTTCCTTCGTTGTCACCGCACCTGGCGTTGACTGGACTGCCACAAAACGCACAAAGCTCTCTGCTTCTGTTTCCAACACAGAAGTTTCTCTCGGTTGATCATCCTTCAGCAATCTTGACAATGGATCTGCTATGTTGGACTTTCCTGCGATGTGGACTACCCTGTACTTGTACTGTTGAAGCCTCAGAACCCACCGCTCTATTCTCGCACATGGCTTAGATCTCGGTGAATAAATGACTTCAAGCGGTTTGTGATCAGTCACTAGATCAAACTCTATTCCATACAGGTACGCATGGAATCTTTCACAAGCCCACACAAGTCCAAGGGCTTCTTTTTCCGTCTGAGAGTATCTCCTTTCAACGTTACTTAACGAGCGGCTGGCATATGCTACTATCCTCGGGCCATCACCATGCACCTGCACCAGCACTGCTCCTAAGCCAACTGGACTGGCATCCGCTATGACTTTTGTCGGTGCATTTAGATCATAGTAGCCCAGGGTCTCTGCACTCATCAAGCTTTCCTTTAGCGACTTAAACGCTTGTCGCTGTTCATGACCAAATTGAAATGGCGTGTCCTTTCTGGTCAGCTTTCTCAGTGGATCTGCCAATGTAGCAAAGTTCGGAATGAACTTTGCGCAGTAGTTGACTAGCCCCAAGAAACTTCTCATCTCAGTTGCAGTCTGGGGTTCACGGGCCTCTGCAATTGCTTTCACCTTGGCCAATCCTGGGTTGAGTCCCTCGCTAGTCAGTCTGTGCCCCATGAAGTCCAACTCAGAGACACCAAACTTACACTTTTCTGCATTTGCAGTAAGTCCTGCGTCCCGCAGTCTGCCAAGCACCTGCTTCAACCTCTTGTCATGCTCTTTCTGGGTCGATGCATGCACAATGATGTCATCTGATATGTTCGCAGCTCCTTCTATCCCAGCTATCACTCTGTGTATCTCATATTGATAAATCTCTGGAGCAGCATTGATTCCGAACAACAGTCTCTTATAGCGGAACAACCCACAATGAGTGACAAAGGTTGTCACCTCTCTAGACTCCGGATGTAACTCCAGTTGGTGGTACCCCCACTTCAGGTCTATTTTCGAAAAGACCTTGCTAATCGACAGCTCCTGTAGGACTTCCTCAATAGTGGGAATGGGGTGACGTTCTCTTATGATTGCTTCGTTCACTCTACGCATATCGATACACAGTCTGATTTCATCATTTCTCTTTGGAACTATGACAACTGGGCTAACCCATGGCGTGGAGCGTTCAACTGGCTCAATGATGTCAAGATCGATCAATTCCGCGATCTTCATCTCCACCTTCTTTCTCAGTCCAAATGGAGTCCTTCGCACAGGCTGGGCCACTGGCTTCACTGTTTCATCCACTGCTAACCTAACTTGTCGGCCCTTCAACTTCCCTACTCCTTTGAAGACTGTTTCAAACTCATGCTTTAAACCTGCATAACTCTGTACCGCATTTACATGTACAATTCCCACCTGGAGCACTCCCAGCTCTCTAGACGTATGTTTGCTGAGTAAAGGTTCTCCCTTTTCTTTGATGACAACAAACTCTGCAGTCGACTTCATCTTGCCAACTTCTACGGTGGCTGTGAAACATCCAACAGTTGTTAATGGTATCTGTGATGTGTACGGATAAAGCCTCTTGGTACTCTTAGTAGATTTGCAGATGATTTTGTCCTTCTTCAGTTTCTCCCACAATATCTGATCTATTACATTGCAATCACTTCCCGAATCTACTATCACTGGGACTGTGACACCTCCAATGATTATTGGGACTTTCTCATGATCACCATTCACAGCAAATTGATAGTACCTCTGATCACGGCCACGGCTGTTGTCATCATCACTATCATGTCCGGGTTCACCTTCCACTTGGCGAACTCTATTCTTATACTTCTTTCCATCTCTGGACTTCCCATCTCTGAATTTTCCTCTCGCCTCACTTGTGCTCTTGGCCTTACTTTTGCACATCGTCGCAAAGTGGTTTTGGCCTCCACATTTCCGACAGATCTTTCCTTTGGCTGGACATGATGCATCCTTCCCAAAATGTCCTTTGTTCCCACATCGGTAGCATTCCAAATTCTTTTTTCTGTCATTCTCATACGATACTTGGTTCACTTGAACTTGTCCACCAGCTCTAGGCCTTTCTCTCTCAATGACATGGAGTTAAATTGACCGTCAACAGCTTCTAGAGCAGCAGCCATGGACAATGCATCATTTAACTTGAGCTCACCTCCTTTCTCCAGCATTCTCCTGCGAAGTTTATCAGCTCTGCAGTACTGAACTACTTGGTCAAGAATTTGGTTTTCTACATCCCCAGCTACGAAATTGCATCCAATAGCAACCTGTCGTAATTTGGTAACAAATTGGGCAACCGTTTCACCATCTTCCTGCTTTGTTTTCCTGAACAAATGTCTTTGAAACGTAGCATTAGGTTTGACAACATAATGAGCATTTAGGGCATCTGTGGCTTTTTGATACTCATTCCTCTCCCCTTTATTTGGAAGTGTTTTGAAAGTCTCCCTTACCACAGGCCCCGCAGTGTACAGCAACAGTGCTCTCCGTTGCGCCTCCTGGGCCGGCGTACATCCGTCCAGAAACAGGCCGCGACTATCGGCGTAGGCTTCGAACTCTTCAAGCCAAGCTTTCCACTTGCCGCTGACAATACTTGCACCACCCGTCGGATCGAAGTGTGGAACTCCTCGAAGCGCTAACAATTCCGCTCCAGCGAATGCCATGTTGAAACTTTTCCAGCTCGTAGCCACAGATTCAACATCCAAGAAACATTAATCCTCGTCGCCAATGTCACATATTAAGTGCAAACAAACTAACAAAGTAGTTGAATTCCATAAACCATAGTCTGGTGTTTATTCCCCGCACTGGGTATCAAGTCACGCGTATCGCATATACATCGCGCACATGCGATCTGACCTCCTGAGGTCACAGGTGTCACATTTGCATAATCTGATACATATTCATTATCATGACAGGAATAATCCCCAGGAAGTGGAGTTGGTGCACGTTGTGTGTGAATGAACCAGATAACTGGGGTTATAACACCTGTAAAGTGCTTAGAGACAGTATTTTGTATTAAGCGCTATATAAATCCAGATTATTATTAATAATATTGTTGAAAGCTGAAATGATTTAGGAATAGGATGCAGAGTTCCCAGAGGATTTTAAGGATGCAGAGTTTTCATATCACGTCACAAGATTCCATTTTTAAATCTTAACCAGCACAAAAAAATGAACCTCATGTGAAGGACAAGCTACCTGTACATATTATTACGGATTTGATTTTAATGCCATTTCCTGATCCAGAATGTGATATATTGTTATTTATCATGTATCTATCTGGATTACGGTAGTAGTTTTGTCTTTGCTTGTGCAATTTAGGTTTTGCTCAGGTAACATATTCTGACATTTCCCACAAAGCTAGTCAGTTTTACATGATTGGTATTTAATATTTGTACTTGTTTTATACTATTTTTATACTGAGGTTTAAAAACAAATAAAGGCGACATAGGAAACCAACAACAATCAACTTATCTTTGTGTTTTATTTTATTATTGTGAGGTCAATACAATTTACTTGAAATTCAAAATGAAATCAAAGATATGCTTGTTAATGTATTAGATACATGTAGATAATTAGGAAAAATGTGAAGCTACGACTTGTGTAAAGAAAAGTTATATTCCAGCACATGTATAGTTTGGTCACGAGGCTTCAAAATGGGAATTTAGAATTAATCATTAAAGAGATGAACATAATCATTGCAACTATTGCCAGTACTACACCTTGTCTTAAAGGACAAGTCCACTCGAAAAATAACTTACTTTCAATAAAAGCAAAAAATCAGACAAACCAATCAAAAAAGGTTTGAGCAAAATCGGATAACTGATAAGAAAGTTATGAATTTTTGAAAAAGTATGTAAAACTCTGGAACAATGAGAATTACAACACAAATTGCCGAGATGGTTATCAGTTTGTGACGTCATGTCCTCACTATTTATCAATTGCTCTATATGGTTTAATCCCATTAATTTCCCTGTTTATTCCCCAAAACTAGATTTCCCCATGCCTTTTTGCCCAGGTTATATGATTTGTATCATATTACGTGCATGACATTTCACAAAATCTTTTATGAACTTTGAAGAATTTAGACTATTTTCTGAATATTGTATATTCATAATTAGTGATTTGTATTTAGATAATAGTTTATCAAAATTCACATTTTTCATGATTTGACTAGAAAAATTACTCTTTATTAGTGCATCCACACAAAAACATATTACTATTAATCCAACTTGGATGCTGGTGTGAAGAAATAAGATTCTTAAGGAGAAAATAGGAAATTTATATCATCAATATAAAGAAAATAATTAGTGGATAGTGAGGACATGACGTCACAGACTCATGAGTGAGTTGCCAATTTGTCTAGTGATTTTCAAAGTTTTTAATGTCATTAAAAATTCATAATTTTCTGAATAGTTATCCGATTTTGCTCAGACTTTTTTTGATTGGTTAGTCTGCTTCTATTGAAAATAAGTTATTTTTGGAGTGGACTTGGGCTATAAAGGGATTGGGTAACTTTGTCTCAGATTCTGAAACAAAATCCTGGATTTAGCTCATGCTGCAATGATGATTATAAACTTTTAAGTCAGTCAGGAACCCCATGACTTTTACAAGTTGCTCACCTGTCTGATTATCAAGATACCAGTATTTATGATTGGAAATCAAAATCAAGTTTTGTGTTTTCCAAATTATTTTTATAACACTACGGTCTATTGGGGAAAATGGGTACCGGTATGGTAAAACCGGTCCCTCAAAGATTCAAAGATTTTAATTTTTTTTAAGGAACTTCATGATCATTTTGAAGCGCAATTTTTTCAGGGCTTCATTATTACACCATATCACAGACACTGATAACATGTGAGGCCATGCCTCTCAGCTTTGACATTGATACACAAAGCCTTTAATGTCAGAAAAGTTCTTTCAGTTGAATATGTGTCTAAATACAACTTCTACATACTAAGTCTCCGTTACAAAATTTCTAACTTATATTTTTGCCGCCGCCAATAAACTTGGCATTGATATATGCAAGGCAAACCTTCAGGAAACCAGTAGGCAAATTAAAGAAATAGATATGTGACAAAGTGAGATTTCAAACGATTTGAATGACAAAGCTGGCAGAGACCCTGCCTCTCTTCATCATCTTTAATCTTGTGTAGACCTCTCAATGTCCAGGTCTAACAGGAACAGTGGCAGCCAAGCAAAGAAGAGGCAGACCTGCTATTTCCTGGTTGAAAGATATTCACATAGAGACAGGGAGAAAGCTGTTGGAAACGGCAGACAGAGAAAGATGGCATAAACTTGTGATGGCCAAAGCAGCGAAGCTAGCGCCACTTGACTGAAAGAAGATCTTCCAGTTAGTCCACTTGAGGCTCATTGGTGTTCAAAATAATAACCTTCAGCTTTGATCTTCATTGTTACTCCACCATGAGTTTTCATAGCTCTTGACTCCCTTTTTCTTCTTGTTCATCTGTCTGAAGATTTCTTGAAGAAATGATCTCTTCATTGTCCTTCAATTCCAGGAGACCTTCCAAGATAGATGTCTGCTGATCTGAGGTTCTTCTTCAGTTTGACCTTTCACCTTAACACTCCGGACTATGATGTAGATGTTTCTTTTGATTCTAAACTCCATCCTTCTTGGTCATCAGTAAGAATTTCTCTTAAAGAAATAATTACATCAGTATAAATGGAAGTAAAATCCTTCATCCGTCTGCCATAAAGAATGAAACGTGTGCCAGCACATCTAAAAAGAAATAAATGAAAAAAGCAATTGAGTGATTCGAGTCAAGGACAAATGGTTTGCATAAGATACAAATTTCTAACAAGACAAACTTGAATTTGTGTTTTATAAAGATAGTGAATGAAACCTGCATTGTAATCATTTAGCCAGCAACTTTTATACATATCACATCCAACTTGCATTCTACTTAATTTTTCCTACTACACTGTATCCCTTCAGAAACACAAAAATCATTAATCAAAGAGCTGTTATTCCCCTTTGAAAGTTCCATTTCCATATCCCCACACATCAAAGAGAAACTTTCAACTCCAGTATATAGCTTAAAATTGTCCTCTAATCATAACCCCTTGCTCTAGTAGAGCAAAATGTTAACTCACTTTCAAGAGATTCCTCTGTCTCCCTGTTGCCTCTCTTCCATTTTGTAGATAGACTCTGCATGAGCTCTTCATTGTTGTAGTTTACACTTGCCAGGACTTGTCTTTGGTTTTCACATCTGGTCAGCTATATTTCAAGGAAAATAATGTTTTCTAGTCTACAAAAAAAAAATACCTTTTCAAATTCCTAAAAAATCAAACTATTTTTCCCCCCCAAGAAATATTCAGCTCTCAACCCCCTAAAAATCTGGAAATTTCATGTACATGCTTGTATAAATCTTTTTCCGTTCATGATTGGAACTTGGGTTACAATAAAACAAAGAGTAAGAGCTTTAAAAGTAAGAGCTTTGCAAACAAAAGTACATGTTGTCATGTTTACATGGAGAATTTTGAATGTGTTGTAATCTGTTCGTGAGAGGAGGTCAAGAGGATAGAGAATGAAATAATGAAGAGGGGTGAGGGTTGAGAGGGAGATAATTCAAACAGGATATGGGTAAGGAACTAAGGATATACTGGGAAAGGATATATAATAGGTGATTTGCAAGATGTACACAGGAACAGTGGGATTATGTACTTTGCACTTGAAAGTACAAGTCATATGATTTGAAACTGAAAGGGGTTTTGGCAGGGAATATCTTTTTACAATTCATGTGTTCTAGTAAATAGTAATATTTGTTCAGGCATTGAAATTATCAAAGATGCTTTTAACCATTTAAAACAGTTTCGACTCTCAACTTGGATAGCACGCCTCTGCATGATTAACTATTGTGACGATTGATGTAGGAAATTGGATTTATACGTGTTTTTCTTATGCAAATGACTTTGTATAATTTGCATAAAACTGCCGTTTAAAAATATGGTGAATGAAATGTAGTTCCTCGATTTATAAGGTTGTTTTGTTATCTTGAGGAAGAATTGATATATTGTGAGTCTATGTAAAAAAGGAATAAGATTGCTTATAATGTGTAATAACTAATTTTTACTTCATTCAAAAGGTGTTTGTACAAGAATAGCAAAAAGAGGAAGGATATTTTGTTTATAGAATTGTGATAGGTCTTTATATGTGGGTGCGGGAATCTGCCTGACATAGCAGATACGTAGGCACACATTGCATCTTGTCATGGGCGAAGGAGGATGTGCGTGTCGGGCCGTATATTAGTGTGCAACGCTCTTGTTATGTTTTACACCTTTGAAAGAAACGACATGCTAGCGAGGTTTGCTGGAAGCTGTATTGTAAAAATTCATTTAAATACAAAATATTGAGAATTGGTTCACTAAAATAAATTAATGTGCACAGTATCATACTGCAAAAATAGGAATAATATTGCACACACAAAATCAACAGGAAATAGAAAAAGACACTTGAAATAGAAGAGGAGATACCGGTATATGTTTGGATGTTATTGTAAGTTCGCTTGGCTAAGGATACAAGAAATTGAACAGGGCGTCTACATCCTGAAGCCACTCTAGCATATCAGCTACCGAAGGCCATGTGGCTGTTCCTTCTGTGATCTTATCCAAAGGAAGATGTTCAGCATTCTTCTTGTAGACGGCCATACTGTTGACATACTGCTGATGCACTTTGGAAAGTATGGCCTGAAGTTCATCACTAAAAGGTCATGCAAAAACAGGAGAGGAATTAATGCTGCATAGGCCCTATATATATATATATATAAATATGATAAGGATCTAGAGTTTTGTCAACTTCTATGAATACAAATCATAGGCATAAAATTAGTTGGTAAAACCCAATTTGACCTACTTGATTACAATCATTTATACATATTAAACTCTCATAATCAATAGTCTCATTCTGTAAGTCAATGCTCTTAAATATCTCTCCTTCAATCCTGTGCATCCAAATAATCATGTAAATGAACATTTCTAGTCTTTAAAAAGATGAATAAAATACAATTAATCATACACGTTACAACAACAACTCTGTCTGGTCATCTCCATGTTTATATTTTTTTTTAGTTAGTCTACCCTATTACCTCACTACCCTTATATTACCTTGGTTGTAATAAAAGCACAAAAATGAGATACACAAATTAATGAAAGTGTCAATATCCGACTAAAATAGGAAAGTTGTGATTCTGTTAAGTTGACATCACACCAGTGAAACAGAAATTCAGTTGTGTATGCCTATTATAATTAAGTCACAAACTAAAAAACTAAAAAACTTACATGTTAATTTGAAGTTTTTCTATCAGAAGCTCCATTTCCTGGATCAGTTTGTATTGAATCCTCTCATGAATATCTGGAAAGCGTTTTACCAACATAAAATCCGGTGATTGGGACCGAACACAGCGCAAGATGCAGTGGTATTGTTCTGCTACATTTTGCAGTGAATTTAGGGAAGATAGAGCTGTACTGCAAGTATTTTTCCAGACATTTTTGATTGATTCAATATTCTTGAAAGATTTCCGAAGCTGTTTGTGCATCAAATCAAATATTTTCGAAGAGTTCGCCATGCCATGTGTGTAACACTGGTACGGTATCAATGATTGCGTAATCGCAATACGTATACGGTCCTTACGGTTACGGAGCGAGCTCAAGCGTAGTCGAAGTCCACAAGCTAGCTCAACACTCGTGCCGATGAAACCTCGTTCTACTTTCATTTGATCTCAGGAGAAGCAAAATGTCCGGTGCAGCTAGAAAAATACTGATAGGTCAGGTAGTAGGAACTAAAATGATACGGACCGCAAAAGTTCGGGTTAATAGGTTGCATTTAGACCCATTTGTTACCCAGGTAAGTATCGCTATTTATGCCTGCAAAATGTATGTAGACTGTGTAACTGTAGTAATAGGAGGAGTCCTCGCTCACATCTCCGCTAGAGTTCCGGCGGCATGGAGACTTATATTACCGCTTATCCAACTCAGCACACGTTCTCGCAGCTCAGATCAGTAGAAGTTACAATTACATGCATATTATTTAAACAGCTATACACATGATACAGCAGGCGCAGATCCAGGGGGGGGTGTCCGAGCGTGCCTTGGCCCCCCCCCCCCCCCCGCAAAAAAAAAAAAAAAAAAAAAAGAGAGAGAGAGAAGGAAAAGAAGGGAAAGAGGAGAGAAAGGGAAAAAAGAAGAGGAAGAAGAAAAGAAAAAGAGAAGGAGGAGATCGGGGGGAAGGACTTGCCTCCCCCTCCCCCCCCCCCCCCCCAATAAAAAAATAAAAGAGAAGGAAGGAAAGGGAAAGAAAAAAAGATAAAGAGAAGATAAAGGGAAGGACAAAATAGGAAAAAGATAAGAAAAGGGGGATATCAGTTGCAATTTTCCCGCCAAGTTGTGGATCGAGGGGGAGGGCAAAAGACCCTAGCCCCCCCCCCCCCCCCCCCCCCCCCCCCCCCCCCCCCCCGTCCCCGCTAAAAAAAGAGAGAAGGAAGGGAAGGGAAAGGAAAATAAGAGAATGAAGAAAGGGAAGGGATATCAGTTGCAATTTTCCCGCCAACAAGGTGTAGATCGGAGGGGGGGGGGGGGGGGGGCACTGGCATACTGATAGGGGAGGGGGGGGGGGGGGTTGGAGAAATAGAATTCAAACGTGGTTTATTTATAATCCCATAACGGGGGTTAACAAATAATGCTGAAATGAGATAATTTTCCTCACTTCATGCGTTTGTTGGAAAATGACAAATTCCTAAATTTACAGCCAGGCAAGGAAATGCTTCTTGAGATGCCTACATATCAGGGCCCGCGGAACGGCGGGGATCGGGAACCTCGAGCCCCTCCCCCAAACTTTCTTTGAAAAAGTATATTAAAGAGAAAAAGAAAGAAAGAGAGCGAGAAAGAAAAAATAGTAAACTGCCAGTGTCACATTAAAATGGGGTATCAAAATATGCTCATCTGACCATGATTCAAATTAATGCCTAAAATCCTAAGGGCTCTGCCCCCTGGACCCCACGCCAAATAGTGTCCTGCTAGTGTCACAAATAATAAGGTATCAAAAATGCTCATCTGACCGTAATTAAACGCCTAAAACCCCTGAGCTTCTGGGGGCTCTGCCCCCTGGACCCAACCAAGAGCCCTTAGGCGGGCCCCTCGATACTCATCTTACCGTAATTGAGTGCCTAAAACCCTTGAGATTTCGGGGCTCCACCCCCTGAACCCCAAGCCAATTAGTGACCTGCCATTGTAACAATTAGGTATCAAAATAATGCTCATCTGACCGTAATTAGATGCCTAAACTCCTGAACTTCCGGGGCTCTGGCCCCTGGACCCCGTCTAGGGCGCTAAGGCGGACCCCTGAATGCTAATCTGACTGTAAATTAAAACCTTAAACCCCTGAGCTTCCGGGGCGGACAAGGTATCCACATATGTTCATCTGACAGCAGGCGCGTAGCCAGGGGGGCGGTGGGGTGGTCCCCCAATAAACGCCGGCCAAAAAAGAGAGGAGTGTAAAGGAAGAGGACGTAGGAAGAAAAGGGAATAGACATAGAACATATTTGAAATTCAGACAAGGATTAAGAGTAGAGAACGGTACAACGAATCGTCTTCTTTCTCTAATGAATTAATGAAACGTCAAAGCTTCCGCGCTACGCGCGGGGGAGGACAGGGGGAAATGAATTCAGACGAGGATAATTTTCGGGAACGGTACAACGAATCGTCTTCTTTCTATAATAATTTAATGAATCGTCGAAGCTTCCGCGCGAAGGGGGGGGGGGAATTGATTTAGACAAGGATTAAGAGTCGAGAACGGTACGACGAATCTTCCTCTTTCTCTAATGATTTAATGAAAAGTAAAAGCTTCCGCGCTTTGCGCAAGTGGGGGAAACTAAATTATTTTCGAGAGCGGAACAACGAATCGTCTTCATTCTCTAAAAATTTAATGAAATGTCGAAGCGGAGGGAAAACTGAATTTAGACAAGGATTAAGAGTCGAGAACGGTACAACGAATCGTCTTCTTTCTTTAATGAATTAATGAAACGTAAAAGCTTCGTGTGGGAGGGGGGAAACTGAATTTAGACAAGGATTAAAAGTCATAACGGTACAACGAATCGTCTTATTTCGCTAATGATTTAATGAAACGTAAAAGCTGTATTCAGACAAGGATTATTTTCGAGAACGGTACAACGAATCGTCTTCTTTCTCTAATGATTTAATGAAACGTACAAGCTTCCGCGCTTTGCGCAGGAGGGAGGAGGGGAAAACTGAATTCAGATGAGGATTAAAAGTCGAGAACGGTACAACGAATCGTCTTCTTTCTCTAATGATTTAATGAAATGTAAAAGCTTCCGCGCTTCGCGCGGGAAGGGAAAAACTATTTTCAGACGAGTAGGCACGTACGGAAGGGGGGGGGAGGGGGTTAGGGGGTTGACCCTCCCCCCGCTGTTTTTTTATGTGTGTATTTTGGAGCAACCCCCCCCCCCCCTTTTCTGTGATTTTCTTTTCAAATTTCGAGACCAAAAAAAAAAAGTGTCCTCTTCCCCCCCCCCCCCCCCCGCTTATTTAGCGGCTGGAAGTGGGCCCCCCCCCCCTAAGAAATCCTGGATCCGCGCCTGTGATACAGTGTAGTTCTGAAATTGATTATCCTGATTATAGATTTGCACGTCAACTTATTTATTTTCTTTTGTGTAGATCTAGATTTTATTTTTCCGCGATGTCTCATGAAAATATAAACGAAGACTGTCAATTTTTTTTTTACAAATTAAATTTTGAATGAATCGTCTTATAATTTAAGAATTTACCCCACCCCACCCCTTCTCCCTGTCTCTTTCTCAGTATTTTCCCAAGCGATCAACGGTGTTTGCTCATGACCCTGAGGAAGCTGCCAAACTTGGGGACATTGTTCTCGTGAAGGAGTTGCCCATCAAGAAATCCACCCACGTCAAGTACCAGATGGAACGTATCATCTACAGCCTGGGAAATGTGACCGATCCCATCACAGGCAAGAAATGTGACTGCTACTCGTACTGGGACGACGATAAGAGCACTGAGGATGCGGTTTCCACTCCTGGTAGCACAGATGGAGATGGTATGGAAGAAGAGATCACAAGGACGATTGGAGAGGAGAGAGAACTGAAAACTGAGGGCACACCTGTATGATCACCTTGGTGGAGTGTGATAAACTGAAGTACATGTACAGACAGATGTGTATTAGAGCCACCGGAAATGCTTTAGCAAATAGAAGCCTTGTGTGGAGATGAGAGAGGATGGTGGATTTTGAATTACAATTGTTTGTGTTTGACAAGGATTGAACAGATTCCAGTACCTGGTGGTCTCAGAAGGAAACAAGGTCATATGTGATAGTGAACCTGTGTTATTGTTTTGGTGCAGGAGAGTGCTCAATAAAAGATCATGATTAGTTTCATGAAAAACAAAAATGGGCTAAGATATGAAAGTGTGTCATCTGTGATTCATTGTTTCAGAGCGACCTAAGTAAATAAGCTGAAGTTTAAGGATAACACTAGTTTCAATCAAGATAAAGCAAAAAAAGGGTATTTTTTGTAATACATGTACTCATTCAAATTGAATGCATACCGGTATATTGTATTTCAAATTGGCAATAGAAAGAATGCAAATTGCTCACATATAACCTGTTGTCAGGTATAGTAATCGATTATGTTTGTCCAACTTAGCAACTACTTATGTATGCAATTTGTATTCTGACTGATGAGATAGGATGATATATAGCAATTGTAATAGCTCAATTCTAGGTAAACATGAGTAAATATGAATACATGCACATGAGGCAGAAATATCTTGTACTGGTTCATTTATCAAGTTAATGGGAGTTCAAGCTTGTGGATTTGAGGAGGGTAAAACCCATTTTACCATTGGCGGATACAAACAGCTGCCAACCGTTCCTGCATGTATTCTTTAGATATTATTCCAGTTTGGGGAACATTCAAAAAGTTCATATTAATGCTACAAACTGTTGACACCTCTCTAACTCTAAAATTGTGTGATTTGATTTTGCCTACCGGTAATTATTTTAATGGCAGGTATGGATGCTCGATTGGTTTAAAGGTAAAGACCAGTTTTGGAAACGCCTCCATTTCAAAAAATGAAATGGAAGCTCTTATTACCAATAATGTGAAAGAATATGTTTTGACCAATAAGTGATGATACAAATTTTGCCGGGAAACCGCCTACTAATTGATATATTTGGTAAATTATTATATCTATCTGGACTAGATAGATATAGGGTAGTCCCATATACATCTTTCTGTGTACAGTGCTTGTAACTTTACCAAGACTGGGCCAAATTTCTTATCATTTTGATGATTCCAGAAACATGTAGCACACACCAATACTTATATGCTACACTGTAGATGATCAACCTTTTCTGATCGATTCCACAACGATTCTTTTGCAATCGCACGACCGGAACTGGTCTATACTTTTAAGAAACAAGAATGTACAAAGTGTCTTCCATTACAAAATGCCATTGTTGACGTCTGCTCAATCTAATTGTTTGTGGTGCTGCATTTGTCCACCTCTGATAGATACATGTATGTATGGTTTATCAAAGATGTGAACATCTACATTTATCATTTATTGCCTTTGTTAAATATGGACTTGAAGTCTGGCAAATAAATGATCATCAATGATGTATCAAACAATTTGAATCATCCTCTCTTTTGTTCTTCTTGAGTCTGTGCCTAAGGGAAGAAAGTATCCCTCTGTAGACTTTGTTCTATTATTACAAACTTAAAACGACTGCAATCAATCGTATATCATTATGTCATATTTCCCATTTTTATCTCATTGATTATCATTTAGAATTGTTTTGTTATACTTGGAGGGGAACAAGCGCGTAACCAGGATTTGATTTTAGGTGGGGCGGTAGTGAGCACACGAAGCGTGCAAATCACTTAAAGAGCGCGCAAAGCGCGCTCCCTAGGGGGGGTGGGTGCAGGTAGGGGGGAGTTTCCCCCCTCCCGCGCAAAGCGCGGAAGCTTTGACGTTTCGTTAATTTATTAGAGAAAGAAGACGAATCGATGTACCATTCTCGACTCTTAATCCTGATCTAAATTCAGTTTCCTCCTCTCCTGCGCAAAGCGCGGAGACTTTGAAGTTTCATTACATTATTAGAGAAAGCTAGACGACTCAAAGTACCGTTCTCGACTCTTAATCCTTGTCTGAATTCTGCCCCCCCCCCTCTCGCGCTAAACTCTGACGTTTCATTAAATTATTAGAGAAGACGATTGGTTGTACATTTCTCGACTCTTAATCCTTGTCTGAATTCAGTCCCCTCCTGCGCGAAGCTTTGACGTATTATTAGACAAAGAAGACGATTCGTTGTACCTTTCCCGACTCTTAATCCATATCTGTATTCAGTTTCTCCCTTTCCGTGCGAAGTACGGAAGCTTTGACATTTCATTAAATCATTAGAGAAAGAAGAGATTCGTTATACCGTTCTCGACTCCTTTTCCCTTTTTCTTCCTACATCCTCTTACTTTTTTCTTCTCTTTCTCTCTCTTTTTTTTTTTTGGCCGGCGTTTTTTTTTGGGGGCGACCGCCCCCACTGCCCCCCCCCCTGGCTACGCACCTGGAGGGGAAGTCCACCCTGATATTTATTTTTTTTTAAATAACAGCAAAAAAATTCCCCTAAAAAAGTAGTGAAAGTTTGAGCAATATCCAATTGAAAATGATAAAGTTATGAATTGTTGAAGTTGTCATCAGTGAAACAAAGATTGACAACACTGTGATGTACATGTATCTTGCAAGCTCCTTACCAATTTGCTCTGTACAGAAAATATAAACTTTCATTTTCCTGGATATTGATGACAGGACAGATTAGTTTCATACAGGGGTTAATAAAAACACATTATGATTGTATTTAAGGTGAATGTATGATAGAACATTTTCTTACGGGAGAATATAGATTTTTTTTTGTACTGGGCAAATGGGAGGAGACATCGCAAGATGCATCACAGAGTTGCCAGTTTGTGATTGATCGATTGTTCCTTCAACAATGCATAACTTAACATATTGATATTTATATAGCACCTTTACATAAATATGCTCAAAGCGCTTTACATTAGTAAATAAAACAGTAATAATCTTGCTCTCCTAGTGCATACACTGTAAATTTGTTGTGTAAAGTTGTGTAAAGCTGTGTAAACTTTTTTTTGAATTAGTTATTGCTCAAACTTTCACTAACCTGTTTCTGCCTCCATTTAAACCAACTTGATATAAGGGTGGACTTCCCCTTTAACCTTCAGCATATTGGACGGCATCTTCCTTCTTAAATACAGGACATGATTCCAGTAGACCGGTGGCCTATGAGATGTTGGTCACGTTAGCCATTGGTCTTGTGGGCTATAGCCTCTTGAATGTACAAGTACAGTGTATTTGTATTCATATCTAAATTGCACTGTCATAGATATTACATGTATCAATTTCTTTGTGCTTTGGTTGACATCTCTACACAATCTTGCTGGCTCCAAGTGTATGTAAGTGCGGGTGTGTGTCTTCCACCTCAAAAAGTTGAGGAAGTCTGCATTTTGTATCGTTTTAATACATTAAAGGTAATACAAAGTTTTGGTATGGGGTCATGAATTTGGTTCAACTTATGAACATATAGGAGCCATATGCGATCCTACAATATTATTTAGTGATCTTTGCTGCGGTTAAAATTGAGTCTAAAGTTATAATACAATTTTGAATAATAAACTCTTTATGTTGTATAGCTCCCTCTCAAGGTCAAGGTATTAATTAAGCTATAAAACAATGTTTCTGGTCTAAAATTGACCGATTAGCTATTCCCGTTTGGAAATTATATATAACAACTAAAAATTCTGAGATTGTCATGGGCGCAGCTACCATTATACGGCCGTAGGCGCTATTTGAAATTTATTAAAATTTACCGGGAGCACCGATAAATTTGTATATACAACTTTTCTTGAAAGCAGAAGTGTTTTAAGGTCTAAATTTTCTAGTGCTTATAATACATCCACAGGGGCATTCAAATATATCAAAATTGTAAAGAATCACTATCCACCCAATTTTCAAAATTTTCCAAAACTTTGTATTACCTTTAAGTTGACACATGTACAATTCGTATGAAGACTGAACATCAGCGTTTCTTTTCTCAACTCTCCACAGTAATGAACTCACATGGTCAGGAGTAGAGAAGTAACATCTTTATTCCATGAAATTTGTATCACTATACAATTTGATGTAACTGATAAAGTTCATAGCAACCACAAGCAGCATGAAACATCCGATTGTGCATAGTGCTTTCACTTGACTGTTAACGTGCTTAATACACGAAAACATACATGAGAATTAAGATTCTTATAAGAAGGACTGTTGACATCCATGTTCTTGTGGTGAATACGGTATGCTTAAATATAAGCTACAGAAGAAATAGCTACACATTTGATTGCAAGTACAAATGGACCAATATTATATTTTTTAAGTATTATTCTACCAGAAGAAGCTATAGCTATTACAAGCATTGTGTGTTTAAACTTTACTGGTGTAGCCTTTTTTTAGTAAATGTAATTAATTCACCATTTTGTAATGTTTGAGCTATTCAGATCAAGGCATTATGTGCACATTAAATCATACAATTAATAGCAATAAACCAATAAATAAGTCCTTCGAAGATGTATTCAGTTATTTTTCGGAAGAAACTGTTAAAGATCAGTGAAAACTTAATATTTATTCTTTCAGTGCCACACTTGTATTAAAGCATTGTAAGCCTTGTATTAAACATAGCCAGCTACATTGGTCAATGCTAATTTGATTAGTTGCAACATTAGTAACCCACTGGCAATATTAAGTGTAACATCTGCAACGTGACAAATCTGAATCGGTTTTCTTTTTAAGTTTGGTAGTACACTGTGACACACATTATTCAACTGTCATGATGCCTATATGATCTTGGCTAGTTGCATATTGCTTTGAAATGTTTCACAACCTGCACACAAACTAATTAACCCTGTGAAAGCACACATTTTATTTTATTTTTCTTTACTTTTACTCATGGAAATCCAAAACTTGATTGTTTCTTTTCTTTTTCCAATCATCAAACAGCTATACATGCATTTCATTTTGTTTTCACATTTATGTTACAAAAGAAATCATATGCTGCTCTGTAGTACTAAAAATATAATAAAAATCTAATCATCTGTACACTTCATTCTATTTATCAGCATTTAATTTTGCCATGGTAACAAAAATACTCCACTGTGGTTATCACAAAACATTGAAAAGATTTTGAATAATATTCGGTACTGATCCTTCATAACTTTCATCTATACAAATAGAATTTCAATATATACATACTTTAGTCTCTAACAAAATGCAAAATAAAAAACGCCAGGAACTAAAAATGACAACTACCATGCCACGATCCTGACACTGTTTTTGGTTTTCTTGTAAATACGAAAAAATAATTGCATGACTCATTCTTTGCTTATGTTTTGAAGAAATCTGCAAAATCTATAAAAAAAAAAGGTTTATTTCATCATGCTCAACTTGTATAAAAGTATACACTCTACACTTCTAGCTACAGTATTTAAGAATGTTATGCTGCAGTCACAATGGTCGCATGCTGTGTTTCACAAGGCAAACATATTTTGGTATACTGTAAAACCCCAGATACACCACCTAGCCCAACATCAGTCTACCAAAAACAGACCAAACATAACATTGCATTACCCAAAATTGTAACAAATAGGTCAGTTTCAAGAGTTGATTTGGCGGCTTGAAAAAAGCCTTGAATGAGGTATTTAGTGAACTTGTTTATGACTGAATCTACTTATAATGTATAAATTCCTTGATTTGATTTAATACAAAATAATAGAATGTAAAGATTGTTTGCAGTCATGTCGCAACCCTTGGGCAACTGACCCTTTTGCAGAAAAGGACTACAAAACAAACAAAATCTTGCACTAAAAATTGACAACACCAACCATTCGCAGTAAGAAACTTGTGTGAAAAGCAAAAGATAGTGCTGGATTCAATTATTTTCCAGCATGAAACTTTTGTAAATCATGACCTGATGACCATTCCCAGAATTCATAAAAAAATGTCTTGCTTATGAAAATTTTGGTTAAACATATACATCCCCTATCGGAAGTGAAAACTGGAACACATATGTAGATGAACTACTAGTATAGGCCATAGATTACGGTACAATGATATCAATTATATGCTATTTTAAAGTCTGTCAGAGGAGTAACGGCTCTTTGAAAATCAGAAATCGTCAACCTAAAAAACTAGTACAGTATACATATTCACAATGACTATACTCACGTATATAGGCGAGCCAATCAGTTCCACATATAATATCGTCTCTGTAAAACTTTACCCTTGTTTTTAATGAGGTTTTAAATTGCTTTTGTGCAATACTGAAAGAGAAAATACTTTATATTCCTTTATATGTGTAATCTACATTCATTCAGCTTTCAATTGATATACAGTTTTATTTTCATCAGATAGGGTCTTTAAAATGGCTATTTAACTCAAATTGCCTATTGAACGTGTCTACAGCACATATAATGCTTCTATAATTACCTTCATTTTATAGTAATTTTTGGAAAAGATGCACATTTGTGAGTACATGTATTCCTTCCAATACCAAATTGAGCAAGAGGTTTTCATAGTTGAGGGTCACTATCTTCCCATGTTTTCATTTACGCAGAAACTTTGCTTATACCTAAATACCAATAAATTTTGCACTTTAAAAACGAAGCCCTAATAATTGGGCCAAATATCCTAAAACTATTCTCGCATGCATTGAGTGCACTCACAAGCTAAAGCTTTATACATGTGTACACATTAACAAAATATAATGGCAAGGTTTTATCTCTTCTTTTACATGCATCGTAGTAATTTCTGATTTGGAAGTATGCATTCTCATTCGTGATGGAAATCAGAAAATGATGAAAGAAAATGGGAAGAAAATAAAGAATTTTGAACTTGTGAAACGATTGCTACCCTCTATGGCCATGAAAAAGTTGCACATCAAGAAATTTCAAATTTGTTTCCTGATTACAGATTGAGCATAGAAAAATGGCATTATTACTAGCTTGATTCATAGGCATATAGAAACATAATTTTGGCAAAAACACATGCTTTTAGAATGAAATCATTTGATGTTCACAATTTCACTCATTCTGGTATTGTGAGAGAGGAAGATCATGAAAAACAAAAAAAAATCAGACTAAATGTATAACATCTCATGCAATACACTACTCTGCTTTTAAAGTGAAACATACACTTACTAGTAGCTACCAGTAATATATTTGCAAGTTTTATACCATGTACACACGCTTCTTGGTGTGCAATTAATTATTCAAGGCTCCATTAGATACATGTTTAAAAATTCAAACATCAAAATGTATGCAATAAACTTAAATCATGATAACTTCACATTAATGTTGAATTTCATAAGTTTGCACAAGTAACTGTTAAAACACTCCGGAGCACTGCTCAGAAAGCATGAGAAACAATTGGTCCATATGTCAAAGTTGCCCGAAACAAGAAAATCAAACTTTTAACAGGTAGTCGGGTACCTCTTTTTCTTCTTCTTTGACAAACAGTGAACAACATACATCTAGCTGTCTAGTTCATCATATATACAAATTGATAAATGTACAATTCACCCGTATTGAAACTTGCTAATTGATCCGGCATTACTGCTGGAAGATGTGGTAATTACAAAATTGATGAGTCGTCGCAATCAAATTTGACTAATTTAAGTTCTATGTGCATTACTTTAATATCAACATGCAAATTCTTATTGTGAATAGTAAACATAGTGTTTTGCTGGATAAATGAGGAGGCAATTCGTTTACACAATGGAGTCGTAATAGTTCAAGATACACACTAATTGCTAGTATACATGTAGCTCAGTAGTAACTAACTACTAGGAAAGGCTCGATTTAAAATATAATTTGGAGTTAAACATCTTTTGGAATTTGTTTTTATAGTTCTACACTTGAAGAAGAAAAAAAAGTGTAGCATGTATTGTCAAATCTAACATACAAGGCATGCAATTCAACTCAATTTATCAAATACATGTACAAGCTAAGGACGGACACAATTTTAGAAAATCAGGGCCACTATTTGTGCTGTGTACACCATTATAAACAGTACTACTGTATTAATAGAATCAATATCATATCTTTAAAACAGATTGTAATTGGTAATGAAATCAGGCTGGAAAGGATCAACCCTCGTCCCACTTTCTGACACTTCTCTTATACGTGAGTAAGTCATCGATGGCATTTGCCATCTTCTGTCCTTCTTCCTCGCTGAACCATTCTTCTCCCTCGCTCAGCCCTGCACTTGAGCTACTGTCCTCTACGGGTCTCTGAAATGGGTCAAAGTCATTCACGTCATCATCCTTGTCCTCCATCTCATCCCTCTTGCGCTTCCATCCTCTGGGGTTTTCTGCCGTCAGACTTTCTTCGCTGGAGGAGGAGGAAGCTGGTCTAGTCACGCTGCCCAGACTGGTTGGGTTAGAACGAGCCTCATCCTCTGACTCACTGCTACTGCTACTACTACTGCTCTCGCCACTACTACTACCAAACATATCCTCAACCTCCTTGCCCATACTGGCAAGGTCTTCCGATGAGAAGCTGTACATTGGATTGTAGTCCTCAGACATGCTCAAGGGCCTGCTCTTTGTCCTTTGCCCTGGCATCCCCGTGGAGCCAGGATTTCCGTTGGTGCTGGCCTTGGCCTTGCCTTTTCCTTTCTTAGCTTTCTGGGATCCTGTGCTCTCTGTGTCACTGAAGCCTGGGGTGCTACTTCTGCTGCCATGCTTGCTGACATCAGCAAGAATAAAGAGCCTCTCATCCACCCTCTCCCATCTTTCCCAACAGCACCACAGCCAATCTGGTTCAACAATGAAGATGCTTTTGCTTCGTCTGGCCGCGTGGACCTTTGACGTGCCAACCTTGGCAGCAACAAGATGTGTAGAAGCCCTTCCTTTGGCCTGTTCCTCTTTACTCTTTGTTACAATTTGAGGAGAGACCTTTGCACCTAGTGCAAGTGCCACTTTCCACACCCTGCTCTGTTCTGGAGGCATATTGGTGGGGAACACACTGCTAAAGACAATGTTGCATCCCTTCAGAACAGACATTCTCATTGCAGGAACGATGGATTTCAGGTCTGGGAGCTCCTGAGGATTTGCTTCTACCTGTTTGAAGAATGTCCTGTGAATGCGCGCGAGTGTGTCTGCAAGGTAGAGCAAGTATTCATCCTTGTCCTCTTCAGGTGACGTAGCTCCTGTGCTGGTGCCATCTGTAGTGGTCACCTTATCACTGTCACTTTCCTTTTCTTGGGCAAGTTCACCTTCTTCCATTTCATCCTTTGATGCCTCTTTCTTATCTCCCTCCCCGGACCCCTTCCCACGTCCCTCGTCCACTTTATCACTGGATTCTTCCTCACTGTCCTTTGTCGTTGATGACACCTCTGAACTGCACACCTCTGATTTCTCGTCCACCGCTTTGTTCTCTTCTTTGGTAGTCTTCTCTTCCTCCTCTGCCTCCTTGCTTACTGCACCTTTGGCCTCCTTGCTCTCTGCATCTCTCGAGTTATCATCCCCTTCTCCCTTTTGTGAAGCAGGAGATGATGTATACTTGGTTGGTGATTCCCTGGGCTTCTTCACGGGTGCATTGTTGCGATCATTCAGGTTTACAGGGGAGTTGATATCACCTGTGCCTTCAAAGTAACGGTAGGGAGGGACCTGGATGAGGTTGGGAGCAAAGTTCCAGACATCATCCCTGTCATCAATGATACACACCATCTTGTCACCTCGAGGAAATATGGACCTGCAAATCAAATATAGAGAGCAAAACGTAAACCATCACATCAAAAGGATAATCGAATCTTTAAAAGATTAAAGTCTACCTAGAATTCAATCAAATAAACATTTGTCCCACAAAGGCCAGTCATTTAGAAGAAGTTGTTAATGCCCTTTCTTCTTTGCAGATATGATTTGAAACATACTTCAGAATGAGACATGTCTCAAAACTACCATAAGTCACTATCAATTTTTCAAGTTTTTGCTTTCAAATCTAAAGTTTCTAGATATTATAATTTAGATTACTGACCAATATCTGCTAAATCCCTGTGACGTTCACACTGTCCAACCCAACAATTCATGAACATCAACAAGTACCTGAGATTTGCCTTCTTCGAGTGAGGGTCAACGCACTCGTCCCTTGAGAGTATGCGATGGGAGAAGAACTTTCCCTCTGGGTCGATGATCTCGGCAACGGTGTGGGCGTAGAGGCGGACCCCCATGGTGAAGATGTGCAGCTGGTAGAACTGACTGATGAGGTCCAGAAACTGCTGGTAGTTGTCCCTGATCCTGGTATGGTACCAGGGGAACATGGGACCCTTCCTCAGCTGGAAATGGTGAACTCCCTGCAAAATGAAAAGTACTTTAATAAGAAATTCCAGATGATATGCTCACAAACTTAATATTCATCTATTGTATATGACCGACTTTTTCATCCAAACACATAGGAATTGGCTTGCCTGCATAAATAGTCAATGAAGCAAAAATGGAGGATAATTTAAAGTCATTCACTGGGGAATAGATTCGTCCTCATCTCATTTGCACTTTTGATTTTAGTAGACCTTTAGAAGCTAATCATTTCAATTTTTATTGAATTACCTACTATGGGTATATCTTAGTCCATCAGACTATATGTTTGAAAATGGAGTTCACGAGATGGAAATTCATTGTTCATTATTCACTGTGTTTTGGTGTAATGGTCTGCAAAAGGGTAGGATATCCCGTAAGTTTTGTTTGCCACTGATCTCTTTGATTCCAGTGAGCCTACTCTGAATATTTCCACTGATGATTGCTGGTTTCTATCATTTCCAATCAAGTAACCAATACAAGCGAAAAACTTCAGTGACTTACGGGCATATCAGCTGGGACCTCATCGAGTGTAGTGTGGATGAGCGTCTGGTCCAGATCAACAAGCAGAACCAACTTTCTGTGCTTGATCAGAGAGTCCTCATCAAGCTTGGCTAGAACAGCAGCTTCCTAAAAAGTGAATTAAATTACAGTGTATTAACCCTTTCTTTTCAGGAGGGAGGGGGGGGGGGTGACATTACATTTTCCCTAAAAAAAAAATCCACAAAATGTTTAAAGAGTATTTAGGCTTATCTATAGTCATTTCAATTCCAAAATCATTAAAAAAAACAGTGGCATGATACCATAAAGATAAACCTCAATAACAGTTACTTAATTCAACATCCTAAAAATAAAAAAGTGGATCATTCGAACAGGCATCAAGGGTCAAGGTGTTCAGTGGATAAAAATGTATATTGCCTAACTCAAGAGCTCACAACTATACAGGCCAAAAGAAAGTGCACCTGTATGGGAAATGGGAATATTGATTTTCTTCATATAATGAAACCTATTTTGTGAGTTGTTACCACTGACCGGATTATATTCTGTTTAGAAAACTGATGTGATACTTGAAACATGATACCGTAATGGTAAACTAAAATCCTAGACAAAATATAAATTGGGTTATTCTGGCTTTAAATTGGGTTATTCTGGCTTTAAATAAATTAATTCCTTTATTTTTCTTCATGATACAAATTAAAGGGGAAAGATGCAAACTGGCAACCCATTATTAGATGGGTTATCTGAGTATATGTTTCTTAAAGCTTATCTGCCGTAGTTTACAGGAGGGATTAGACTGCCCTGCAAGGTCACTGGACAGGTGGTTATCTCATCAACTCAGCTCTCAGTTAACATAAGAAAAAGAGGATCATGGGGGACCAATGGTCATCGATTAGGCATTGTTTGTTATATAGAGGGCGCAAATAGCTACAAGTAGTGCAGTGGCCTTTAAAGCCCATCTGTCCTAGTTAGGCCAGGAGGGATTAGTCTACACAGCGTGGTCACTGACAGGTGGTTATCTCATCAACTCAACTCTCAGTTAACATAAGAAAAAGAGGATCATGGGTAACCAATGGTCAATGATTAGGCATTGTTTTCTATATAGAGGGAGCAAGTAGCTACAAGTAGTACAGTGGGCCTTTAAATCAAGGTCAAAAATAAGAATTACTTACTTCTTTACTGACATGAAGTTCAGGGATACTATGTATCATAGACACACAAGCTTTGGTTGCGGGTGTCTGCTTGACCTCCTCATCCCTAGGAAAATATAAAAGAAAAGTTTCACTCTTGTTACAGACAGGTGGGGTGAACTTCTTTAGTTATGAATAAATGATTATAACATTTATATCCAGTCACATAATTATTACAAACAATTCAATACCTTTACAATCCTCCTATCAAATATGCCTCAAAAAAAGTTATTGAACAAATTATGTTGTTTGAGAACATAATACTTTCATTGTGTTCAGTGGATATTACACCATTTTATCTGTAATATTCAATAACTTAAATAAAATCCATAGGCCTAATTGAAATACTTACTTTCTCAAATCTTCCCCACATTCTGCACACATATCTTTCATAACAGTGGGATGGGAACATCTTGCAATCCTCAGGACGACCGACCTACAAGAAATTTGAAATAAATGTACAGTATATTCATTATATTTCTTATACATTTTTTTTAAAGAAATATTTTATGGTGGTGTGACCAATAAATAGAGTTCACACGTGACCTTAATCAGTGTGAACCCTCCCGCATTTGGAAGGAGTCTCACGCCACCACGCTCATTCTCCCGCCATCCCACCAGCTCGTAGCGGGAGACTCCCGCCACCACGCCCTTCCTCCTGCTCTCCCGCTATCTCCCGGTTTATGAAAAAACCTCCTGCCAGACGTGTAAAATGAACCAGCGTACTCGTATGCCGATCTGACTTGAATTCAGGGATCGCGATATCTCCAGGAATTCTTTGATGATAAATTTTCTATTAATATCACCAATTTCTCGTGAAAAAAAACTTTACCGACCATTGGTAATAAGTGGACTAAATAAATATGTGTAGAATATACAACATTTTCGAATATTTTTTTTTAATCTCCACAAACTTTGGTCGCCCCATAACATAGGCCATGTAAATTTCCAAGTCTTGCATGAGTATCGATCATGCTCTGACATTATTACGTCTGACATTTTTATCTCTGACATTTTCACCTCTGACATTTAATTTACACCAAGCAACGTACTCTGTAGATAGATCTAGACGTTAGTGTAATGAAATGAGCTACACTCCAAATTTTATATCTGTTCGACTTTGATCTTGTTGATGATACTTAAACAAGAAAAATATGTGACTTGTATGAGGAAAAGTTTCTAGAATTTTACTGCAGACCAAGAAAGTGCTGGCCCAATTGCCTTGTTTTGGGCCTTGTTTTGGGCCTTGTTTTTAGGCCTTGGTTTCGGCCTTCACTTCTTCAGTTATTTTGGGAACAGGATCAGGAATCACAAATACGATTACGAGTTCTATTTGACATGTCAACCCTCAAATTTCATAAATTACATCAATCTCCTGATTTATATGATCTCGTCTATAATACTTTTTATATGGAGTGAAAATGCAAGTCTAATGATAATACTAATTTACGTAATTCCTCACTACCCTAAAATACACATCTATTACAAATTTACCCAGGCTTCACTTCGTCTCCTTCATTTGCAAGGATATCTTGGACAGTTCCCACTTGTTGAGACTTCAATTTCTGCTCAGACTCTTTCTCTCCACCACTGCCATCTCCATTTTCAAATTTATATAAAAGCAATACGCTTCCTCTTGATACTTTTGAGCCAGATTTCACCTTCAATTTGGATATTTTACAAGATTTTGTTTCAGGAAGAGAAATTTCCAGGGGCGCAGTCGCCGCCATTTTGAAAAGAGAGGGAAATTAGAAAAAAATTCGCAGAAAATATCAGTATCTTCTCAATGAGTTATTCTCTTTAAATTAGTAAAATAAAAATTTATATCGTATGCTAGTTTTATTTTGTCTAAAATTACCCTATGTGGTATGAATTTTCTTTTAATTATTTCGCTGCGAATTAAGTTGCTCCGAATGACAGTGACCAGAATGTAAGACTGATCTCATATCTCAATTTTAATAGACACGTAGGGTGTACTGGAATGAGCCTATCCTCTGCGTGCGAGAAAAGAGCACAATCTTAAGCTAACAACTCGTTCTCGTATTCCGAAGCAACGGCGTCGGCGGTGAGTTCAAATATTTTTGTTTTTCAAACCATTTCATTTTCAAATAAATGATGTTTACGATCTAATCAGAGATTAATCATTAGGATATTATCAAACATGCTCACAACTAGACAGAAATAACGGTCTGGTATGAGTTATTTTGTGATAAAACTGACATTTGTCAAATAAACGCCAGGGAGCTGGAGCTCGATCCGCCGCCAAAGGCAAAGCCAAAGGCAACGCCTTCACCTTCGGCGGCGGAGCTCCTTGGAGTTTGGCCAAATATAGAGGGGGCGCGCTGGCGGTCAGATCAGCTCAGATGAGCCAGATCAGATGCATTTGTGTATTCATGCAAATGCCACTACAATTTTCAGTGAATTTCATATTTTACTCACTAGGTCTTCTTTGTGAAATGCATTGATGTGATGACTTCAAGTTCAAATGAATAGTCGAGGCTAGATCTATAGTTTACCTTGAATGCTTCTGGAAGAAAGCCGTCTCCAGCTGCCAAGCTTCCAGGTCTTGCACCATAGTCATTTTACATCTGTATCTTGCTTGCTGGGTCATATCAGGATTGTCATAATTGGAGTGTCAACTGGGAGAAGGGTGAATGATATTGCTCCTTCTTCCAGTGTTTGTCAAGTCTGGCTTTAAAGCTGTTTACCGAGGTTGCAGATACTACCAACTCAGGGAGGGAGTTCATTTATGGCCGTCCTATGAGTATGACTCCTATCTGTGACATTTAAACGTTTTAGCAGTGTCCTGGTAATCAAATTATGCAAGGAAACCTGTTTAATTACTAGACTGCACTGTCAGACACTATTGAGTGACAATAATAACTTATAATATATCATGCCTTTTTACTCACAAATATAGGACGCTGCTACAGATTAACAAAAAAAACCTGACCTGACCTGACTGATAGATTAGTTGATCATGTAACATGGCATCGGCAGGCCCAGCAGCTCACCGGACCAGGGTACAGGTCATAAGTCCAGAGAGGACCCCGGGTCTCCAGCGGCCCGCCAGTGTGCCCAGGTCCTTTACAGGGAGAAGGTTACACACCCCGTACCTCAAGACGCCACAGTCTAGGATATTGCATGGTGAGGTTTTGTAATGTACATTTTGTATAGTTGTACACCCAGATGTTGTGTGTCCGGACAGGTTGTGTATCCAGACAGTTGATTTAAACAGAAATTTGAAGAAGTCTATGAGCAATATTTCATAAATCTTCAGAGACTTGTGTTGGACAATATTATAAAGGACAAAAAGGCTAAAGAAAATTTCAAGAAGAAATAAACAGCTGAATAAAATCCATTTTAATGTATTAACATGACTGTGACTCATGCATATATTCAGCTTTGTGGTGAAATGTCCATGCCTTATTGTCATGTCATGCAGGGATACTTTGAATCGTTCATTGCAAAATTTATATGTATTTGTCCTTGATGCATCTTGTGCTTTCCCATACAGGACGAAGAAGCAGGCTGACCAGAACGCCGTCTAGTGCCCACCCCACCAATCAGCGATTCAGCAAGTTGACCAATAAGACGTGGCATACCTACTACGTTTCTCCACTCTATGCATTCAGCAATGAAGCTGCTTCCTTGAAGAGATGCTCCAGGCAGCTCTCCTCCCACCTCCAAGCTGTGAGTCAAGTATCTCCTTTTTTTAATTGATTCATTAGACAGAATACTTTTTTGTCTAAACTGAGTGTCAAATTTGAACGAACATACAATTTAAATGACAATATCATCTTTGTTTGATCAAAATCGGTTCTGAGACGGCTGAAATATCCATAAATACAACAATTCCTAATATTTGTGTACCACCACAAATATTCCATAATTTGATAAAGCCGTTGAAAAAATGAAATAGCACCTTTTACGTTGCCAATACCGATGTTGGCTTTTTTGTTGGCTTTTTCGTGTTTATTATATTATGCACAACTAGCCTGCCCATGTTTTAATTAATTAATTAATTAACGGTCACCGTATTTTTTTTAAAGTGGAGCTGAATTGGTATGATCATATCGGCTAAATTTCACAGGTCTAAAATTACCTTTATAGCAATTTTAGGTCCTAAAAGGGCACTAGAAATGCCATAAATAAGAATAAGAGCAATAACCATGCACTTTAAAGGCATTTGCGGTCTGAAAACAGAACTCAACTATCCCTTTAAAGCACCTCTTTCTCTTTAGAAACAATTTCTAATGTTAACTGATGATTGTAGAAGTATGTTGAGTATATATATCTCGCTCTTCTCTACCGGTATTCTCTTTCTTTTTCCTTTTTTCTCTCTATTACAGCACAAAAGGACATATTTGTATGTGATATGCAATATAGGCCTACATATAAGTATGGTTTATTATTATCAATGATTTGTGCTGGTCTTAGGAGAAAAATATACTGGGGTAGGCCTTTTTTTCTCTCTTCTTTTTCTTTCTTTTTCTTCTTCTTTTTTTGCATGAGGTACAAGTGATCTTCAATGATCATTATTTGGTTGCCGGGTAGCCAGAAAGAAATTCCTGATGAAGGCTGTATGATGGCTTTATGATATTTAGATAAAATTATGAAAACTCAGTCACAAGTATTCTGGGCCTCGAGACAGATAATTGATTTATTCTTTCTTCTTTTTTCTCTCTCTCTCTCTCTCTGTCCCCTTTTACCAATATTTGTTCCACCATATTCGTATTAATATGTATCCATTGAGGGTAGTCATGCTATCAAGCTTTGCTTACTTTGTCAACTCTCCTGTTTGATGTTTTTGATTAGTTACTTTATTCGACATTATATTCTTTTGAAATGTGTAAAGTTTGCAATGTTTTGTTTGTTATATATTTGTAAAAATGCAAAAGAAAAAGAAAATCAAACAGAAATAAATAAATCAAATCAAATCAAATATCTTTAAATCATGATGATTTTACATGTACCAGTATAGGTCTATATCGTCCATTTATCCTCTCCTATGCTTTGTATTTGAACCACAGGAATCTCAGAAAGGTGTCGGAGTGATGGTGGAAGATCAAGTGACATCCAAATACGCTGTGTTTTCTCTGCGTCCAGAATTGTTTCCTGACTCCGGTAAGCAAAAGCTTTTGAATATCAAGAAAAGAAATGATAATGTTTGGATTGTCATGAATTTGTCCCAGCTGCTAGTCCACTCTGATGAGAATCTTTTATGATATGAAAAACAATGCAAAGTTATTAACAATGCAAAGAATGAAGTTCAGAAATAGAGCAAGGAGAACTTTTTAGAGTTAAATATGTTTACAATGTATATATACAGTATTAACGAAAAACATGATTAAATACCCTTTCAAAAAACGTTAAATATTCCAATGTTACTTTTTGGTGCACTACTCTCTTCTTTATGAATAAATATTTTGTACTTATTTATAAAAAAAAAATGTATGGCACTCTACCATTACTTTAAGTCTTGTAGTATTAATACATCTTTGTAAAAAGTGACTTTAAAATATTAAACTAAGGAAATACAGTTTTTATTATTTCCAAACAAAAGCTGCCAGTCATACAAAGTACATAACAATATATTTGGGCAATATTAATGCTGAAAAGGAATATTGATGGTTACCTTTTTGAAATATTGCACCTTTTGGTGTTCGTTCGTCGTTCGTTCTAGATAGGAAGATCCTTATTGAGCCAACAGATCGTCTCATCATCGAGCTCACGAAGTCCGGAAGCGCCGTGGGGGGATTTGTAGATCGGACAATCATCAATGACATGATCCATAGTTTGGTGTGAATCAAAATAGAAAATATTAGGCAGCTTTCACTTGATTTTGTTTGTCCACAAGAATTTTAATTCATCACAACTTTTGATTATTCATGTTTTCATATATATATATATATATATATATATAGTATGCATACATGTACATATATGTGGCATTTCTTTTGAAAGAAAATATTTTAAGAAGAAAAACTTATGTCTGAAAAACACATTTTACTACATGCACTTTATTTCTTTTTGGTTGAGCGTGATTTTATTGATCTACTAAATGTGAATTTATGTACACTAGACGTGCCAGCAGTAGAATTGAGCATCTATGCATCTAAGAGTCAAGCCATCTCAGCCAGCAGCCCTCCAGCATGGACGTCCATCTTCTGCCCCCCATCATCACCAGTGATGGGTGATGACAAGCATTTCTCCAGGCTACCTCTCATGCTCATCAAAGGAGCAATCGGTACTACGAATTGTGTGCTCCAATGGCTCCAGGTAAGGGGAATGGTTTAAGTTTTTTGAGTTACATTCACTGTTTAGTTTTTTGTGGGCTATGATGACAAAAATTAGTCCCATTGAGCGGCTTGATAATTACCCGATTTAAATTGATTTCCAAATTTATTTATTTTTCCCCCGATTTTTTCCTCCCAATTTTACCCCTATTTTCCAGATTTTTCCTGATTTTTTCTGATTTTTCCAATTTTCCTTTTTCTTTTTTTTTTGTACTCAAGGGGGGGGGTGGTTGAGGAAAAAAAGAGAAACCTACTTTTTTATTGCTCACTATCACCCCTGCATTTAAGACATCAGTAGAAAAATTACTCCTATTTTGGACAACAGTAGAACAAATTTAGACCATTTAGGACATCAGTAGAAGTTGTAGAACAAATGATCGACTCCTATTTAGAACATCAAAAAAACAAGTTATTTCCATTTAGTATAAAATCAAATAAGTCCCATTTAGGACATCAGTAGAACAAATTACTCCCATTTAGGACATCAATAAAACAAATTTGTGCCATTTTTAAACACAGTGAAACATTTTTCTCAAAAAATCCAAAAAAAATTGCATGCATAAATTGTTCACAAAATTCACAAGTGGTTGAGATGAATATTTTCATGTTGTTCATGTCAGTGAGGTCTCTAGCTTGTCAGTTGTTGGTAATTTATTGCCAAGTGAGTTTACCACAATCACAATAGTTTTCACAATCATGATGTGATCTTATTCATGTTGTTAATAGCTCCTTGTAAGCCATATGTAGCAATGCTGCTCATAACCTATTGTAAATTGTGTAATCAAAGAATGATAACCAATTGACTTATGGGTTTTCTATTCCTCTACACCTTACAGGTTCAGTTTGACTGCTGTGTGAGGAAGCTAACATTTAACCCAATGGCACTCTCATGGATGGTTTCTATGTGGGCTGAGAGCCTTCCAGGTAATATGAAAGTCATCTTTTAACAATGTTAAATCTGAAATGCACAGCCCTACGTGTTCAGTGTCTGTGATATGGTGTAATATTGAAGCCCTAAAAAAATTGCGCTTCAAAATGACCAAGAAGTGCCTCAAAAAAGTAAAATTCTTTGAGTGACCGGTTTTGCCATACTCGTTTTCCCCAATAGACTGTAGTGTTATGAAAACCATTACAAAAATGCAAAATTTGATTTTGATTTCCAATCATAAATATCTTGATAATCAGACAAGATTGTAAAAGTCATGGGGTTCCTGACTGACCTAAAGGTTTATAATTATCATTGCAGCATGAGCTAAATCCAGGATTTTGTTTCAGAATCTCAGACAAAGTTACAGGATCCCTTTAACAACTCTCTCGTAAAAATATATAGTAAACTTTAATAGATCCTCATAAACAAAGTTTGTTTTAAAGGGGTTAGATCATCGTGCAGTCAGTTTCAAAACAAGTTCCGTGAGCAAATATCCGCAGCTTTCAATTTATTATAGTTCAATGTGGCGTTTTAGACTAGACCACCTCAAAATGTGCATAAGACTTTTGATTAAGTTTGAGTCATTGCCCTCGATCAGAACTGTCTCATCTAAATACCAATATTGTTGCAAAGTGTCTTTGCAGGATTTACTCCTAAATTTCCAAGGGATTTAAATGTGGTGGTGGTGGTGGTGATTAGTAGCAGTAGTGATAGTCGGTAGCAGTAGTAGTGGTGGTGGTTATAATTATTTTAGTAGTAGTGGGGATAGTGATAGTTAGTAGTGGTGGTACTAGTGTAGTTGGGGTATGTTTGTAGTGATAGTTATAATTTACCATAATACGCAAACATATAAAACAGCTAAATTTTTGTTTGTGCATTTACTTGTTAATCTTAGATAAAAAGAAGAATAGTGATGGAGATAAGAAGTGTGGTGTTGAGCTGGTGTACCATCTTCCAAAGGAGATATCAGGACTGAACAAGGTTACCATGACGATAGACTCTAGGGATGCCAGAGCATTGTGGGAAAGGTGAGATTTCTGTTGTTGAGAATACTTTTGCATTGTATTAAAGGGATCGTTTAACAATGTTAAACCTGAGATGCACGGCCCTATGTCTTATCAGTGTCTGTGATATGGTGTCATATTGAAGCCCCAAAAAATTGCGCCTCAAAATGATCATTTAGTGCCTCAAAAAAGCAAAAACCTTTGAGTGACCGGTTTTACCATATTCATTTTCCCCAATAGACTGTAGAGTTATGAAAACCGTTTGGCAAACACAAAATTTGATTTCGATTTTCAATCATAAATATCTTGATAATCAGACAGGTGATCGGCTTGTAAAAGTCATGGGGTTCCTGACTGACTTAAAAGTTTATAATTATCATTGCAGCATGAGCTAAATCAAGGATTTGTTTAAAGGATCTAAGACAAAGTTACCGGATCCCTTTAAGGACATTATTGTAATGAAAATGTCTTTCTTGAAAAGTCATAGTTGTAATATTCAATAGACCAATTGTTGAAAGGTAGGACAAGGACCTAACAACATGTAATGTATCCAATTCATATTCTGACTATTGATGTACAATTATTCATAGCAGGTGAATGAAATAATTTGTAACATGGCATTTAACAAAGATTTATGCATTCAATTTGATAACATTACAAAAATAGCCTCTTCTATGGGGAAAAAAGTGCAATAAAGTATTGATTTGTAAATTATGCTTCCATAACCAACCCCTCCCAGTTTGGCTGCTTTGATAAAATGATCCATTGCTTTATGCATATGTATCCCATTAACATTCTCAGTTCATTTGATTTATACTACACTGTACCTGGTGAATGGTTTACATGTGCTATCAGGGTTTCCAGCTATCTTGGAAATCAGAGGACATTTTGTAAAAGTTCTGTATTTTTTTGGTGAGGAAAAAGTCGAACGATGAAACGTATAACAAAAGGCATGTATCATTGTTTTAAATGAAAACTTGATAAAGAATCTAGTTCCCGCTCTAGTCTGAAAGTCATGTTATACGGTACGTAAATTGTACAACTGGGCGGGGTTTATCGTGAGCGTGCACTGATGATCGGCCAGCTGTCATATCAATTGACCTTTTCAGAGTTAATTTCTTTTATAATATACGATGTTGCTTTACATGATATTGCTTTCTAGTCTGTACACTCCTTTTGCTATATGATAATTTTTTATGCAACATTTGTTCATACAAGTTTTGTATAGATATCCTTTTGTCAAAAAGCCTATACTGGTCTGACTGGTATATGAACATTCCTCCATGTAAGTTTAATGAGAGGACTACAAGTTTTACTGATTTTTTCAATGATACCTTACTGTTTTTCTAGTGTCCATGAGGAGGATTCAGATGAAGTAGAGGAGGATGAGGTGGTATCCTTTATGAAAGCACTTGGTCAGCATTTCCATGCGTGTTTCCACATTCACTTGGACGTAAGCAATAATAGTAATAATAAGTAATGGTAGCCGAGTGGTGTCATTTTATATTTATTTTATAAATAATAATAATAGTTCAGTTCTTGTATAGCGCATAATACATTATGAAATAACATCTCTATGCGCTTCCAAAGAGCTTTGGACTTTATTACCCTAGCTTTAGCTCCGGCAGCCTTATCAGCGAACAGTGCATTTCAAGGAATAATCCTACCAGGTACCCATTTACCTCACCAGGGTTGAGTGTGGCAAATGTAGATCAATGTCTTGCCAAAGGACATTAGTGCCGCGACGGGACTCGACCCGCGGACCTTGTCATTGACAGTCCGGTGACGTATCCACTCGACCACAACACGGTTTACTGCTTCATATCTGAATGAGCCTTTAGTGCTTATTGATAATCAATGATGCAATGTTTGATAAGATTGCCATTCATTTCATTTGCAGGCCTTATATCTGAAGACTATAGGAACAGCAGCAGCGTTCGTTGGGGCAGAGGGAAGATTAAAGGTAAGTGGGGTTTATTATACATTCTATCTTGATAATAAAGTCAGTTTATTACAGTCAAACCTGTCTTTAGCCACCTGTCTGTAGTTGCCATGTATTCTTTTTATCCCTAGAAAAAGTAAATGTGTTGTAGAACCTTTCTAGAAAGGTCACCTGTATACAGTGGCCACTTGTTTTGTTTCCCTTGGGTGGCCTTTATAGACAGGTTTGACTGTATTCTACAAATATTGAATGCTTCGGCGTTCAAGATGACAAAATATATGAACCAACAAATGTAGAATTTTCCAGAGTAATGTTATATTTCACCTAGGTTACAGGCAGAGGTTGAAATATAAAGGCAGGAGGGAAATTCTAAATTTGAAAGTGTTGAGGATCCCATTGTCCCCGTTGCATAAAACTTACCATTGATGGTAACTTTGCCATCAATGGCAACTACCATGGTAACAGGGCTCAACAGCCAATCAAAATCAAGGTTTCCATGGTAGTTACCATTGATGGCAAAGTTAACATCAGTGGTAAGTTTTGTGCAACGGGCCCAGATATTTTGTCTGGCAATATGATGCTCTCTATCAATTACCCTATTTCATAGTTACATAATGAGGGATATATTGTAGAAAAAGATCCCAATTAGCTCAGAATGTCAGATGTTTCACTTTTTTTTTTTTAATTTTTTAAATCCTAGTAAGGCTTGCTCTTCAATTTTTTTATTTTTTCTTAAAGTTAGTTTAAATGTGAAAATGAGGTATTCTCTCCCCCTTTCCCCATCCACTAATCCATCTATATTTGTTAGGTAAATACTACAAGATACAGGCCTCTATTGACTAAACATTAAACAACTCTCATCTCAATTTTGTTACTTTCTATTTAGATGCTGTCACTTGGTGAGGCCAGTGGTGTATTGCAGCATCTCGTAGAGCTTGCAGAGGAGAAGATGGCTTCACTTGATGTATGATAATCATCATGGAAACCTGCCAAGTCTGCTGTTGTACCTTCAAGCTAGTCCTGGACTAATGTTATAAAAAATTGGGTTTTGTACCCAATGTGGGAAAGCAAATGAATATCTTCTTGAAGAACTTGTAACCTTGAAGGACCTGTAATATGACAGTCTTTGAAACCTAAGAGCCAATTACTCCCTGTTATTTAGTCTAGAAGGACTGTTCCTTCAGGTTCCGTAGTAGCCCAGGATGTAAACTTGATGTAGTCTAAGAAGTCCAGGATCTTAACTTGACGTAGTCTACGAAGCTCAAAATATGTTTGCACCTGATAACAGTCAATCCTCGGGCCTGCCTGTTCTGTATCCAAAGAAAGCCAAAATCTGATCTGTCGATCGTCATGCCAGAGCAGAATGAAGCTTAGGAGTAGGAGTTCTCTTTCTGCCCATTTCCAAAGAAGCACAAGGTCCTGATATGAAGTCCAAGTCCCAGAAGCTTTGAATCTCTTTCTCCTTATTTATTGAAGTGGTCTCTGTTTCCAAGGAAGAACAGGACCTGGGGGCCATTTCTCGAAACAGTCAATTCCTTGGACATCCCATTGAAACACGTTGTATAGAATCAGCACAGGTTTCTATGGGATGTCCACAAGCTTAGACTCTGAATGCCCCATTAAATTCACTGTCCTGTTTTCACTTGATATGTTTTGGTTAGAACCTTGACTTGCAATCATTTGTCCCGAAGAGGTTTTATGCCAAAGATATGCAGTACATGATCGATTTATTAATCCGTACTACAATTTATGATTACCGATCAGGTCTTAAAAAAGAAACACCAAGAATTGGTCAATGCCATATTTGTCTTCTGACATTGAAATTCGTTTCAAGAGTACCGGTAGACTCCTTTTATTCAATGCAGTTTAGAATACAGCCTTAGCCTTAATTGTTACATTATATGTAACATTACTATTCAATTTGCATTCCTGTACAATATGTATAAAATCTGTATGATAAATAAGATATATCCTTATGTATAGAAGTTTTCATGGTAAATAATGTACATTTATTTTGGTATATTTTTGTTTAAAAATAATAATTTTATACCTTGCATAGTAACGTTGAAAATGAACTTTGTTAGAAAGAATCCTTATAATTTGTATTTTAAATCTGATATAAAGGTGGTAGTTAATTACAGGAGTCCAATTCTTTGTGCATCTATGAAAGATTTGTGAGATATAATGTGCTTTAATACCAGTGGAAAATTTATTGATCTTTTTAATCCTCAAGACTTTTATTTTGCAATTATACATACAGGCCAGTGTTGTCAAACATACCAGTTTATTTTTAAATCACCGGGTCATGTTGATGAAGCCGAAATCAGATTTCACTAATTTTCATTAGAAACAAGTCAATATCAATATCTTTTGAACCGCACTTTCATCCAGGCTTGAAACAAAAAATGATGCACAGATTAGTGTCTGACTCAGATCTCTGAGTTATATAGTATAGTATTAATGACTGCTTTGAGAGAAATAGTTGTTTTATTACGCTCAAGGGAAGGTTAGAATTGTGCTATTCCCCGAGGCTTGCCGAGGGGAATAGCCCAATTCTAACCTTCCCGAGAGCGTATGAAAACAACTATTTCTCGAATATTAAAGCAGTCATTAATACTTTTATATGCCGAAAAAAAATAGACTAAAAAATGAAAAATTAAAAATATTTATCATTTTTGTCGAAGACGGGATTCGAACCCTTGCGTACAACAAGACGTGTACTGAAAACCAACGCTTAGACCACTCGGCTATGGCCCGCCGTTAACATGTTTGGCAGTTTTGTCCAATATATACATTAAAATGGATTGAAACCGGCTTCGCGTGTGATGAATGCTTCGCAAAAGCTCCATATACGGACTCTTCTTTTACTTTTGCAATGCATATTGGCACGAACTTAGATCAAGATCTATCGGCAGATGTTGTTTTTTTGTTTTTGAAAGTTTATTTTCGTCTTGATGTCAACAATGCAAGATAAAATTGTCGGTAAGATCGATCGAGATTCAATTGTATTGAAATTACCGACCAATCCTTCGCACACATACGGCATCCTCCATCGCTCAAACCATTTTTTAACATGTAAACCTATGGGGTAACCATGGAGGCTGACCAACTTTTTTTAATAACCATGGTTATTAAAAATATTGAAATGTTTTATGCATGGTTACCGAGAATTTTACAGGAACAGTTGAAGTTTATGAATGCAATTCGACCAATCAGATGGCTGGATTTCTTAAGTGAGGTATATAATTTTAAATAGTTATATGCAGGTCTTCATTTATTTTTGTCAGGGAGGGGCGTCTGGAGCAAATACAAAGGGTTATGTGTGACTCTCATATACTCTTTATGGCATAAAAGTATAATATCTATTGATGTATGTAAAAGGAAAGAGTGCAGAAATAAAGAAGAAACTCAAAATTGTATTTTACTGTTCATATATATCATTTATTTGTCATTTTATTTACATAAATGAGAAGAATACACACAGAAGGTACCTGAAATACAGTCATGTTTCTTAATTTCAGCCAAATTACGCACCACAAGTGACCAATTTTCTGTCAATACACCTGCCACATACCACAAGAAAGGCAAGGTGTATAATCAACATCAGGAATTGTACAGAGTTCAGATTGCCAAGCTGAGATACATGCAGTAGACACAAATCTTGATCATGTACAATGAGAGGCACTACAAGTTCTGTATGAAATGTAAAGTATTTTAAAATAATGGCCCAATAATCTTGGTATGTTTCATCCAATGTGTAATTCACAGATGAAAGCTACTACGTGTATGGTAAAAGTGTTAGCGCCTGCCGTTTGGCTTGACGAATGGGACAATTTTCTTTTCTGATTAAATGGAACATAATTTAACTTTCTTTTTGCACATGATATATATCAATTGAAGTTGAAACCTTTGTTTCTCTTTGCTTACGCTTCTACATAATAGAGATTCAATTGTATTTACCTTGTTTTGTGCTCTTATACATGCAATTTACACGATCTGTACACATAAAAAATACTTTTGTCTAAATTTTTCAGATAAACTCTCTATAGGCGGTGTCACACAGAGGCCAAAAATCTGGATTTTAGTTATCCCGATTTTAGTTATCCTCTTAATTGCTGTCTGTCATCAATTATCCCATTAAAAATCCTCTAACGGAGCAAGAAAATTCTCCCTTGAAAGGATTTTTTAAGGGATTCTCACTGTGTGTCACCGCCTTAAATGAATGTTCTAGACAATGGACAATTTCATATACACTGTATTCCTTTGTGTTGTTACATAGAGAGAGAGAAAGCAAAATAATGTCCTCAAAACAAGCAATTTCAATTGTAGAACTTTCACATCTTCATTTGCATACCACGAATATCAAGGTACCGGTACATGTACATTAATGTATACTATACTAGCCCATTGTCATTTGGTCAAAAAACGGCTGTTTGGGAAATTTTGTGAAGATTTCTTGAAAGAGAATCTCATAACTAAGACTACCTATACACATTATTTTCAAACTTTTAAAAGGGTCTGAGGCTACTTTTTAGGCATTTACACGTGGTAATTTTGGTCTTTTTTATGATTTTTGAATAATTATTTTTCAAAATACTATAAACTACAATAGGGATATGTTTTTACCACTTTTAAATTCCCAAAAAGTAGCCTTGGACCCATTTTGAAATTTGGAAACAGCATTCTAAAAATGTGAATTTCCCAAAATCCTCACAATTGACCAATTGACAACAGAATTTACTGTCACACACAGACTTAAGAGGCTTGCCGGTACAAATGAACATATGTTCACAGATCTTAAATAAAATGACATTCATTCATATCATTTATCACAAACCTACGACATACATTTAATTAACATTTAATTCAGGTTTACATGACAAACCTATCTACATCCTTTCTCATCGGTTATTACCTGATGATAGGTCACTCAACCTTCATGCAAGCTCGTGTGATAGATACTATAATTGATGACCGAGTCTTCAGTTGATCCTTAAATGAGATTCATTATACCTGATTGTCAAGTTAATGGAATGCTAAATTATCACAAAATAATGAGAAAAAATATACCACACTGACAGAGCACAGGCAATCCCAGCCCTCAAAATAATTTCCTTTCAGGGATGCATTTGGAATTTTCAACAAAGAATTTTGCCCCTACTTAGGGACTGTTCATAATCATAAATGAGAAGCACATACTTTTCACCTCGCACTGAATTCAATGCTATTTAGTAAATGAAGCCAAATAACAAGAATGCAGGCTGCTTCATTACATGTAGGTGTTCTTTCAAAATTCAAATGAGTTTGTTCTCTTTTCATTTCACAAGAGAGTTCCAATGAAGTTTTGTTGAGACAATTGCTGCTATGTGAAAAGGAATGTACTACACCCTTTATCTTATGGCATGATTTGGAAATCACTTCACTTTGATGAAGATATCCCAATTACATAACAAATGAACTGTATACCGTATTTATATACAAGAAATGCCCTTCACTATTTTCCTTCTAATCTGCTTTTTCCTTTTACAAGAAATGATTTGTGAGTTGACAATCTGCAGCATTCATTGATTTTTAAAAAGGAATAGAAAAATTATGAATAATTGAATATACATGTACAGTGTATATGTCAATTAACTTCATTGAATCTGTAAGCTACTATAACAAGAAATCAGGTCCTAAGAAATAAAAGAAACAAAAACAGAACAAAACACTGAAATACTTCATAAGATTAATCCCTGCCACTCTCTACAGAATCTACATGTAAATAATTAATCCAATAGCACGCTTCATCCAAATCTACAATTCTTATCTACAACTATTTGTTCATAAATTAGCTAAAAACTGCAATGATTTACTGAAGGATGATTTGAAGACCTAAATAACTCAATGCATGCATAATCTAACACTTTTTCAATGGCTGGTTGAAAAATTGTTACCACTCTATTGCTGTTAATGCCAAGATTTTTGCATAAAGATATTTTTTGTGGATCAAGGGTTCAAGACCAATTCGCAAGTTGTTAAATTCTCGTAAAACCACTTCCAATTATATACTTTGCAAGTATTATCATACTACATTCGTGGATCATGAACTCAGTAGTGAGCATCACAATCATCATTAGATAAGAATTGTGTCAAGGGCAATGAATAAATGAAATAATTCTTTTAAAATGCCCCAGGATGAATAGTATGGTCTCAAACTGCCCTGCGTGACCTGGTGACGGCTCCTGCTAAAGTGTATAGCAACCATGTGCGACATGTGACAGGTTTTGCTTTAGTGATTTCAACATGCCACGTTACTTCCTGGAAATATTTTCATTTGTTGTTAAATCTCAAACATAAAATCCCCACAAAGATAACTGCATCTACAGTAACTCCATATAAAAAAAACATATATGACTTTAATGCCCTTCTAGCTGTCTGCAGATGATATTACTGAGAGCCATCTTGCGTCTCTTTTTTTTTTTATAACTGAATTTTTCGAACTGAGAGGGGGATTTATTTTGTTCAATTTTATACTTTATATTATTGTTTTAAATTACGACCCCTACCCTTGCATTAGATCTGCCAGAGGCAACATGGAAATCAAAGAGAGTATGCTTCTTGAAAGTGAATTTGGCTCTTCACATCCTTCAGTTCTTACCAATTTTAATCTACCATCTAGAACGATAATAAAACTATAAAATGGAATTTGAATAAAGAACTAAAATCTCCTATTTTGTTTCCTCTCCATTTTCTTCTGTTTCTTTTCATCCACCTCCGGGGGCGGGGCAAAAAACCATGGTGACAGGATGTTAACCCAGAGGAGGTAGAAAGCTCTTCCTGGTATCACGAACCACAGTATCCAAAAGTACTCGGAGAAGATTCCTAGAACTTGAACAATCGCAGTCACAAGAATGATGTCTTTGATGTGCCTATCAGATTGATAAAAAAAAAAATAATACACAATATATATTAGTATAGTGCATATCACTGAAAGTCCCTATGTGCTTGAATTAGCATTCCCCCCCGCACCCCTCAAAAAAAAAACTAATCAATCATTAGCAAACCCACTAGTTTTAACATGAGCTTTCCAAAGAACAAGTATAATTTGTGGCCCTACTTTTCAGTAGCTTCATACAGGTAATATAAAGTGTATGGATGATGATTTGGTGAAAATTTGTTTATAATCCTTTATTGCTCCAAATCAATAAGTCAAGCTGTCTTCAAATAGCATTGAAAGGAATTAGGACAACTTACATATAGGCCAGGGATGTCTATCCCCCCCCCCCTTTCCTTTCTTTCTTTCTTTCTTTCTTTCTTTCTTTCTTTCTTTCTCCCAATATTGAGTTGTTGCATTGATTCTAAGAGGATAGTCAAACTGTTACATTAATGTGTGTATAACCAAGCTATTACTTGATTGTTTAATCGCAGTACACATAGATAAACATGATGAAGATAATTGCCCCACCTCCCTCTGTCATCAATCAATCGTTTATAAACTTTGCATTATGTAAAAAAATTTAAAGTATGTCAAATTTAAAAGGGCAATTTTCATCAACTACTATCTGTTGACATAAACTGATAGGACATAAAGCACTTACAAATAATACTTTATATTGTTCTTTAAATTAAAGAAATTCTATTGAATGAATAGGACACCGGTAAGAAATACATGTATGAATTCAACCAGCAAGAGACCTGACAGATTTCAAAAGGTTTGATAACCAAACAAATACAAAGACACAGCGAGTGAACTTTACTCCTACTCAAAAGATAATGTCATCTCTTTGTTTACTCACAACTGGATCTAAGCAAAGGTCAAAAACCCTGGACAACTATAATAATACAACCTCTCCTATTCAACTCCGACAGTGAGAGCTACATTGATTTTGATGAATAATGTCAGTAATCTTTATTTTCTTAAGTTCATAATACCAGTAGCTTCCTAGCAAACAAATATTTTCAGTGTGGTTTTCGACCAGTGTCAATTAGAGTGTCAAAGTCTGAATAAATACATTGTCATGTTTGTTTCTGTGTTTTTTAGCTACTTTTTGAGCTGTAAATACTCGGACGGGGCAGTAGATTGCAGCTTTCAGGCATACAAATCATGGGTTCACTACAGTTGTAGAGCACCCTAGAAACTCTTATTTTAAATCCATAATTGTAGACAAATATAATTGTGAATGTAAGTAAATTTTCACCTTCAAAGATAATTAATAAAGTTATTCCTCATTTTAAAGACGGGGAAGCAGGTGTTCTGTTAGCAAATTATTTACTTTTTTTTTCTTTTCATTAACCCTATCTATCCTTTCCCCTACAACCCGGCCCCTCCCCTCCCCCCCCCCCTCACCCATTCCCTCTTATACATTTCTAGAGATGCCCCTCATGCCATCATTCCTGGATATTTTTCTTCATCTTCTTACGATCTAAGGAGTTTTAATTTGTTGTTAAATGTTAATGATCTGGTATGATATTCAAGATCTAGTCAGGAAATTTTCACTGACACCTGCCCCCCCCCCCTTCAAAATGTTTCAGCAACACCTTTGACATCAATGCTCTTGATCTACCTGATCTAAGGTTTGTATTCGTTTTAAGTATATGTTTATTGGTTTTGTTAGAATAACTTACTCCTCCAAGGACTGCGTGTCAAGTCTTAAAGCGGGACTGACAGGTGGCTATCTCATCAACTCAGCTCTCAATTAACATAAAAAAAAGAGGATCATGGGGAATCAATGGTCACCAATTGGGCATTGTTTTCTATATACGGTAGAGGGAGCATTTAAATGTTAGGTCATTGTTGGAAGTACTTACTCCCCCATGCCAGACAGCATGTTCAAGTCGCATCCTCCATCAAGTAATGCTCCAGTCTCTGAGTAGCTGGGCTTTGCCATAATGGTCATAAAGTGATAACAGCCAAAGTAGACCGCTGTCGCGAAGGCTAGGACCAACTGAAAGAGAAATGTGGGCCAAAATATTAGAACAATAGTACAGTAGAAACAGGAAATGCAATCACATTTCAAAACTGTAGACTGCTTTATTCCAACTAACCAAGGATGCATTTAAGTCTGCATAAATTTTCAGCTGGCACTTGTTTTTATTTAGGCCAAGTTCTAAACTATGGTTTTAATTACCGGTATACTCTTATCACAGAAGACTTAAGGGGGAAGTCTGATAGCTTTTAAACCAGTTGGATTTCACTCCAGTAGAATAAGGGTCACAGTGAATGAGAACCTTTTGATGTTTTGTGTAGAATGGGTGTCCACAAAGCATTTCAAACATTTTCCAGGGCTGGGCAGTCAACATGTAGCTCAATTTTATCCATACGTGTTTGATCTCTGATTGTTGATTAACTTAGAGGTTTTTTTGATAATGTACAAGAATAAATTTTTAAATTCAATTTTGGATGAGTAATCCCCTTGAATTGGGCAGGTCAGAGGTGCAATATTCCAACAAACTGTAGCAACAAAAAAGGAGCAATTTTTTTTTATTTACCTCTAATACTATTAAACAACAATAAAAAATTTGCCAATAGACATTTTGAGGGGGTGTCTACTATCACATCCCATAGCCATACAAATATTTATGATAATAATGTTATTTACCAAGGGAAACTCATCAGCATCAATGCTGATCTTCCCGAGGGCCCTCTAAGTATCGATCACCCTAACAGTACCCGGGTACCCATTTACACCTGGGTGAAGAGTGGCAAATTTTTATTAATGTCTTGCCTTATACCAACTTACCCAATTCCACCAAGTGAATGTGTCCAGTTTCCAAAGAAGGCGAATGACAATGTATAGCAGTGACGCGCCAACCATTATATTCCTGTAATAACTTAGGGTCTCTGCATTCTCAACGACAATCTGTTTCTGCCCCTTTGTGCCAACTTTCCCTTTAGGCTGCAAAGGAATGATTCAGAGAAGTTTTTAAGAAAATTTAATAAACACACAAAATTCACAAATATATAAAAAAAAAGTTTTTAAAGAGAGCACTGTATCTGGAAGTAAATTTAGATCTCTCTTTTGTGAGGTTTAGTGATTCACATTCAACTTCTTGTGATTTACACTACATGCTATTTCATGCTTTTAACACAAGACTCTAAAATTCCCTCCAAGAAAAAAAAAATTTTCACACACAATTCAACATCAAATGATCAAGGACAGAAAAAATGTATTCGTTCAAATAAGAGGTAAACAAAATAAGGTATAAGGTGGATAAGGAGTCAAGACAGATTAACAGAAGAACGAGGAAATAATTAAATAAAATTGAAGATATTTGTTTCTTCCCTTGAAAGAAATGAATTTAGGGGGAAAAAAACCAAAATGATGAAATAAAATGGCAATGAGAGGGGAAAAAATGAATGAGAAAATATCAAGACTTACTATCACAATTTTAAGGCCTCTGTAGCTTATGCTGTTAACTTATACATGCCTTATGTTATGGTTATGGAACAAGCTGGAACTTGGAAGGGAACAGAATTAGAAGAGAAACTATTTTTTTAATTTTTTTTTGTAGGTCTAGATCTAGATCTAGATCTAGAATTTGTTTCTCCCCGAAAGAAAGCCATGTGCATGCTTGTAGTAAGCAAGCAGGCAGGGGACCGACGACTTTAAGACTTTTTTCGAGGGACTTGGTAATGAGGATCAATGCCTTACCAACAGACTGGATATGTGACTTGTGAGTAAACATTACATGTTCAATTTTGAGACCGAGTAAACAATTCATACAGCTTACATTAAATTCAACACACGGGACCGATACTCGGAATTGATTCTTCATTCAACTGGACAAAACAGTCTGCAAACAAAGGAATCAGCATCTCAGCTCAAAGAACACTTGAGAGAAAAAAATCCTTTTGAAATGGTTAATACTTACAGGCGCAGGCATGGTGATTCCAAAGTTACAAATTTGCGAACACAAGATGTGGAAATCAAGACAGATGCTGGAGTTTTTTAACGTGGATTTCGCAATTCCCCCTTTGTAGTCTGTACATTCCAGACCTCGTAGTCGAGTCGTACGTCGAGGTCACCTATGCAGTATCAGATCCAGGAATATAACCCCCTGGACAATCACCCCCGGTAAATTACCCCCCCCCCCCCCCGGACAATAACCCCCGGTAATTACTCCCCAAGGACAACCACCTCCCGAGGACAATAACGTTATTGTCTCCCCCCCCCCCCCCGGGCCCCCCGGAAACATACTAGGTCTACATTTGGACAATTGACGGGGGGTACTCACATAATGCATGTACGGGGGGATGCCGCTCTAATGGGTCGCTTCTTCACAAAAATCCCTAATCATGGGTCCCATTTGAACAAAACATAGGTCCGTTTTTTCAAAATTTCCAACATTTTCAAATTTTGTTCGGGTATTTGCCATAAAATTGTGAAACATGAGCTTTACTTCGAGAAAAATCCCTCCCAGTGACCCTTAAAAACGGGGTAGGGGTTTCGAGGCCTGAGCGGCATACCCCCGTCCAAGCTAATTCTGAATACCCCCCCCCCCCCCCGGACAATAACCCCCGTTAATTACTCCCCAAGGACAACCACCTCCCGAGGACAATAACCCCCCGGGCCCCCCGGAAACTATACCACATTTGGACAATTGCCGGGGGGGTACTCACATATTAAGGCATACGGGGGGATGACGCTCTAATGGGTCGCTTCTTCACAAAAATCCCTAATCATGGGTCCCATTTGAACAAAACATAGGTCCGTTTTTTCAAAATTTCCAACATTTTCAAATTTTGTTCGGGTGTTTGCCATAAAATTGTGAAACATGAGCTTTACTGAGCGGCATACCCCCGTCCAAGCTAATTCTGAGTACCCCCCCCCCCCCCCCGTTGTCTTCGCGGTGAATTTCATGGTGGAGGGGGGGGGGGGTAAATGTTCCGCTGGTAATTGGCCGGGGGTGATTGCCGAAGGGGCTAATTGTCATAGAACCCTAGAGATGTCTTGTGGCAATACCCATATTATACGCGGTTGGAAAACGATGGCTTAGCTCACTGGTTTAATGGAATAACGTATACGTCAGTTCCGCGAAACCCGGCAAAACATTAAAAACTGCTATGGATGTTTATGAGAAAATAACCTTTTCAAGTCAATATTATGATTGATTCGAATGTATTCCATTTCATTTCTATTGTTTGCACAAAATAGAACATAGTTGACAAAGTAATTTCAAAATGATGAAATGAAACAAGAAGTTACTAAACAGCATAGTTTGTTTTTTATCAACAATAAAGTATTTGTCTTCCTCACTTGCTTTGCTCCCTCGCAATATTTAGACTGCAAAAAGAATGGTTTCATGTTGCAAATTTGCCGAAGAGCTTTAGGCTTCAAGTTCATACTTTACCAGCGAGGCCGCGGTGCCCGCATAATCCTGGGAAATGTGATGCCTGAATAAAAGTGAATAAAAGTGATTATCCTTGTATTCGTGTATCAATGCGACCAATAATAATATAATTTTTGTTTTGTATCCGTGTATTCGGCAGTGAGCAGCCCACGATACATAATTATACAATTATCTAGTGCACAGGGGCGGTCGAGCGACTTCCAAAGTGGGGGGGCACCAACAAAAAAGGGCACTTTCTGAAGAAAAAAGGGCACCTACAGTGGGAAATCTCAAAGCGAAAATATACAATTTTTTAGACATTGGTACATACCCCTGCATTGTGATTACATTATCAGGGATGATTTCAATATTTGGTTCTCTTCATACATCATACAAGATATCGCTTAAGCATCATACTTTACAGTTGGGTGGGATGTCTGAATATGCATTTACGAGCGAGCGAAGCGAGCGAGAAAAATTTTAAAGATCTGCGAGGTCGCAGTGCGAAAAATTACATCGTATAAAGAGGAAAAAAGCCAATCGTGATGGGGTTATAAGCACATTCTCTTAACGGAAGACTGAAAAGACCTTTGATAACTAACATAATTATATCATCTTTAAATGCGAGCGAGCGCAGCGAGCGAACTTTGGGGGAAATTGCTCTTAGTCGCTTTAAATAAGGGGCATGTTTAATGATTTCATGAAAAGGGGACAATTATCGAAAGGGATAAGACACTTATTAGAAAAGAAAAGGAGCACGTGTCAAAGTACAAAGGATAATTATAAGAGGTGAACATGAGGCATTTTTTTCACCTGAAAAGAGGCACTCACCTGATGAAAAAGAGGCGTTTACGAAAATGGGAAATAGGCAATTGTTGACGGAAAAAGGGCACCCATCAGATTTTGATAGGGGCATTTATAAGAGGTGAAAAGGAGACAGGTCCCTTATTAGAAAGGAAAAGGGGCACGTATCATTATTAAAAAGGGAATTATCAGAGGTGAAAAGAGGCACTGACCAAATATGAAAAGGGGCACTTATGAAAATGTAAAAGGGGCACTTATAATAAAGGAAAATGTGCATTTGTTGAATGAAAAGGGGGCACCGTTCAAATTTTAAAAAAAGGGCCGTTATGAGAAGGGGAGGGAGCTTTTTCTTTTTAATGGGGGCACTTATCATAAGGAAAAGGGGCACTTATTAGAAAGGGAAAGCGGTAGTTATGAGAAGGGGAAGGAGCTCTCTCTTTTTAATGGGGGCACTTATCATAAGGAAAAGGGGCACTTATTAGAAGAAAAAAAGGGGCACATGTTAAAATTAAAGGTGTGCTCATCCGAGTTTAAAAAAGGGGTAGTTATTAAAAGGAGAAGGGGGCACTTCTTACAAAGGAAAAAAGGGGCAGTTGTCAAAGTAAAAGGAGCACCTCTCAGTTTTGAATAGGGCAATTATCAGAGGTGAAGGGGGCACTTATCAAAAGTGAAAAGGGGCACTTCTCGTACCTGAAAAGAGGCACTTACTAGAGATTAAAAAGGGCACTTATTAAAGATAATTTCAAGATTTATGAGAATGGAAAATGGACACTTATTGCAAAGGAAAATGGGGACATGTCGAAGGAAAAAGGGCACGTGTCAAAAATAAAAAGGGCACTCGTCAGAGGTGAAAAGGGGGAAGGGGCACTTTTATTTAGTAATAGGGGCACTTGTCAAAGTAAAAGGGGCACTTTTCCTATGTAAAAGGGGCACTTCTTACAAAATAAAAGGGGCACTTTTCCTATGTAAAAAGGGGCACTTTTGGGGTATCTGAAAAAGTGGGGGGCACTGTGCCCCCCCCTGCCCCCCCGGGAGAACCGCCTCTGCTAGTGCATGTATTTTGAATACAAAATTTCGTGTTTTTATCACGTTTAATTGTTGTTTTTTTGGCTCGCTCACAATTATAATCAAATTTGCCCTTACGTAATATATTAATGGAACTTTACGAGTGCCAGAGTATAGCAAAAATTAATCTTCCATAATTAATTTAAGATTGTGGGGTAACCTTTTCTTTCTCAAAAGGGTGGCGATTTTCTTTCCATCTCTCTTTCTCTCTCTCTCTCTCTCTCTCTCTCTCTCTCTCTCTCTCTCTCTCTCGATCTCTTCTTCTTCTTCTTCTTCTCCTATCTTCTTCTTCTTCTTCTTCTTCTTCTTCTTCTTCTCCTTCTTCTTCTTCTTCTTCTTCTTCTTCTTCTTCTTCTTCTTTTCTCTTTCTTCATTCTCTTTTTTTTTAGGCTGCCTGAATTGGGGGACCACGGCCAATTCGCCCCCCCCCCCGGATCCACCACTGTCCTGGTATTGCTGCAACAACAGGTCTAAGTGTTCAAAGAGGGAAACGAATCCAAAAATATTTCCCCAAACAAGCTAAAAGTTCCCTTTTATGTGCCAACGTTGCAATTTTTACAATGAACATGATTGCAAAATTTGCAAAATTTAGAGGCTGACAATAATTTTTTACCAAGAACACTTTTTATCTTCATTTTTTGTTTATATTTTGTTTCGTTTTTTAATTTTTTTAAATAATAATTACCTTGCCTCTAAGGTGCATGCAATAGTTAAATTATATCTCGTAACGGGAAGTATTTTTCATTATCGTTTTGATAAAGACTGTCATAACTATAGGCTTGAGGATATTCTGTCTTCCTCATGAGGGCAGTTTATTAGTCTATATGGTTACTTTTTATAGGGCTTCAAAAAAAATAACAGATTATACTGTGTATACGGGGACAGTCGAAAATGTTGTGATCATTTGGGAAACTTGAGTGCGGCGTATGCACAACGCCATGTGTATGGCCCAAACAGATTGACTAAAAATGATTTTGCCTTCAGTTCCTTAGAACAAGCCCCGGTAATATCGTTTGATATTGATTTTGCGTAGGCATTATGAATAGAAATTTTGCGAAAAAGAGGTAATTCGGGGGAATTTGTTTGCGGATTTTCGATATTTATTTTTAAAGGTCACTTTATTGTTTGTTTTTTTAAGAGCAAGATAGTGTCATTACAAGCGACTCGACAGACCCCGAAATATGGGTAATTTTAATACGGGTAGGAAGTTAAATGGAGGCCCCGTGTAGAGGAGGGCAATCACCTTTGCACAATAAAAAACCGGCCACTGCAAAATTATTCGTATAAGTGTAGGGGTTCAACCCCTGCCATCCACTTGCACAATATACCGGGAAGCCGAGACCCGAGGGTTACAGTGATCAACAGGCGCGTACGCAGGATTTTTTCAAGGGGGGGGGGGGGGTTAACATTTATAAATCGGGCCGAAAATTTCGCAACGACTCAGCCAGCCGCTGAATAAGCGGGGGGGGGGGGGGGGGGGGGGGGGTAAGAGGTCACTTTTTTTTGGGGGGGGGGGGTCCCAAAAAAATCGAAACGACTCAGCCGACCGCTGAATAAGCGGGGGGGGGGGGGGGGGGGGGGGTAAGAGGACACTTTTTTTTTTTTTTTTTGGTCTCGAAATTTGAAAATTTGACATTTTGCTCCGTTGGGGGGGGGGGGGGTAGGGTGAGCTTTTTTAGGTCAACTATGGGAATATTTTTTCTTTTTTTTTTTTAAATCCAAAAGGGGGGGTTTTGGAGAAATTTAGGGGAGGTTTAACCCCCCCCCCCCCCTGTGTACGCGCCTGGTAATCAATGCAGTTCGCTATTCGCCTCACATGCACAGGTGATGCCAAATCCTTAATAATTAATACTAATGACACCAACGGGGAATGGCACAAAAGTTCCCTCAAGTATAAGCAGCAAGGGCGTATCCAGGATTTATATAGTAAAGGCTTATATCTGCTCGTTATTTTTTAATTCAATTCACTCATCAATTCATTTCTTTCCATTTTAATACTATGCATGTGTTAAAGGCAGTGGCGTAGACAGGTTCGTACACCTGGGGGGATGACTCAGGGGCGGATCTAGCTTTTTGCTAAGGGGGGGGTTGACCAAAATAATGACGATGCGGAGCATCGTCCACGAGCCGCGAAGCGGCGAGCCGATTTTTTTGGGGGTGTTTATTTGAACCCCGTAAGTGATGTTTTCCTGGCATCTATTAACACAATGGAGACCATAAAAAGCAGTGCATGATAACGTCTTTTTAAATCAAGTAACAGTTAAATACACAGTTATATCCAGAGTTATCATATGTTTGGTTAAGTTACCAGATGAGTTGAATATCTTCTCACAATATTTGCACTTGAAAGGGTTTCTCTCCAGCGTGCGTTCTTTTTTCTTTCTTTTTTTTTTTTTTTTCTTCTTTTTTTCCCTTTTTTTTGTTTTTTTGTTTTTTTGGGCCGCCCAAGGGGGGTTTAAACCCCCTAAACCCCCCCCCCCCCCACCCCCGTAGATCCGCGCCTGTTTAATCTTGTGGTTATCTTGTGGTTTCCAAACCACAAGATAACCACAAAATACTTGTAAGATTTTCTTTTTTTTACCGTCTGAATTGGCTTTCACCGTGTGAATGCGGCTAATAACAATAAACACAATTACAATAATGATGAGGATTATTATTATCATCATCATAATTATTATTATTATTAATATTATAATTGTTATCATTATTATTATTACTATTATTATCATCATTATGACTTATTAAGTAAGCAAATATCATTCCCCAAAACCTGGGGGGGGGGGATGATTGTACATGCCATCCCCCCCACCTTGTGAGGTGGGGGGATGCATCCCCCTCATCCCCCCCCCCCCCCGTTGTCTACGCCCCTGGTTAAAGGGCAAAATACAGCAATACATTCACAATATGAAAAGGCGGGATACCCTTAAAAGCAAATTGCTTGTGGGCACGGTTCTAATTAATGGGCAAAATGAACAATAATGAAATTATATATATATATATATATATATGCCAAGAAATAATAGTCTTTGACTCTATCATTCTTTGAATTGATCAATTTATTAATTTCATCTTAGAAGACAAATATTTTCCGAAACTGCTTTCAATCTTGATTCAAATGACAGAACACCACCGAAAGCATCCCCTCCCCCTGCCACCTCTCCTTCAAAATAATAAAATCACAACAACACCAATGAGGGCAGCATATAATTTTGTGAAAACTATGGATAACAAAATGTAGTTGAATATTTACTGAGAATAAAAGGAAAGATGGCTCACATTAAAGTTATTAAAGTATACTAACTTACATTTTGAACAATTTTTTCCTTCTACGTATTTCTCTTTAATTTGTAGAGTCAATTATAGGGTATTTGATTAGAAAACAAACTTAGACCACAATAATTTTCAGGTGACGTTTAGCATCATTTTAGCTTTACATAAGCCGGTCTACACAAATATTTTCGAAGGTTGTATCGACCGTTTCATGATCTTGCAAATAATTTGACGTTTATTTCCAACTTGCAGTCTTTTCTTTGGTAAGTTTGGCTCTAATTTGACAAATCATATAGGTGCAATCAGTTTATGAAATTAAATCTGTATGAATTTGATGAGAAGTACAATTTAAGCCCTCGATTGTATTGCCTGTCGTTGATATTGTGTTGCTAATAACGCTGTCGCTGTGGCTGTGCTAAGGCTTCAGTAGGCCTGTGTGTGTTGTGTGTGCTCAAAGCTATGTAGTGCGGCAAAATGGGAATGCGAGACGAGAATCGAGGCAGACCCGGCCCCGTCATGTCTGGGGCGCGGCAGCGGTATGGTAGGGTGTCTGAACACTTTTTAAATTTTCCCTTTTGGATTGTTTTTCACCATCAGGGTAGAATAATTTAAAAAATCATCTTCTCAGAACAGCACACACCACAAAGGACTTTGCCCATTGAGCTGCTTTAAACAAGTGACGCACTTCACACATACAGTCAGAGACGCCAAGTTCAAAGATCAGCAATGCGTGATATTTTCATGATTCGGCGCGCTAATGCGCTAGCGAGGGTGTAACACAAGTATAAGGTATAGCGTTTTTTTTAAATCTAGTGTAGTGAGTAGCTTGGCTGAGTGAACCGTTGTGCCGAGTTGACCTGACTGCACCAAGCTCTACTGATAGAAACTCAGTTAAACTCAGTTGCGCAGCTTGGGGTGACAGAGCCTTCTACTTCTCTTGACCTAATCTTTGGAATAATAATAATAATATTGGATTCTTATATAGCGCACGTATCGACCTTGCAAGGTCCTCAAGGCGCTCCAACATAACCCGGCTATGCTAGGCTGCCGATTTCAACGCTCACAGCATTTTAAGGAATTCCTTCCTACCGGTACCCATTTAACACCTGGGTGTTGAGTGGCAAATGTAGATTAATGTCTTGCCAAAGGACATTAGTGCCGTGGCGGGACTTGAACCGCAGACCCTGTGATTCACAGTCCGACGACTTATCCACCACGCCTTTCTGCAATCTATCAGGAGTACTGTGTCTATGGCAACTGTCAGATCACTTTCAAGGCTCAAAAATTCGAAAAATATTAGCAGTTTTTGCTTTGTGCATTTCATAGAAGCTCTATGAAGAAAAATGTCTGAACAACCTAAAAACATGTCACCTAAGTGATTATGAAGGCCTTGAAGTTGAATGAATAGAATATACATATTTATCTGTTATTGATTAATTTTTGATTAATTTCTTTATCATGCAGGTGATCACTGATGTATGTCTTCAATCTGAACAAAGTTGATTTGTTTTTGGTCAACTATTTTACAAGGAAATCATGACTTCAGAAAACTTAAGACACTTGGCTGTCCTTCAGTCGGCAACCAGTATTGCTCTTGAGATCAACGCCCTAGAGGCCATTAAATCCACATTCACCCAGACGGACCTCAGATCCTCCCTCGATCTCGAAGAAGAATTTCTCAACTTTGCCTCAAAGAACCTTGGTGATGAGGTCTTCGATGACCCTTTTCCAATATCAACCCCAGAGCGCGTCTTTCCTGGACAGCGTGATCTTGATCAGTTCACATGCTACGTGTTTAGACGTCGGTATGGTTGGTCAGAGGCAGCCACAAGCACGGGCAAGGATGATGTGGTTGGTGGGTATGCAGAGGGTCTAGAAGGCACGGGTGTCATGACCGCACCCCAGCAGAAGAACCAGGTCATACTCAAGAGCAGACTCAATGAGTTGCTCGATGAATTTGTGAGATGGTGAGTCTCGTATTTTATGAGCGATTCTCCAATTATTTATTGTATAAAGTGTGTTCCTAAATGATATTACCTGGTTTGTTTGTTTTTCTCTCCATAGATTATAGTTATAGGCCCTGTTAAATAGAAATTACATACAATTAGGCCTAACAAAAAAAGATGTTGTATTGCCCTTTAGGTGCCAAAACATGGGTCGGTCGGTCGAAAATCTTTTCTTTTTCTTTTTTTCCCTCCCTCTATGTGGTAATATTTTTCAGCTGTAAAAAAAAAACTTTTTTAAAAGTTTTTAAAAATTCGACCATATATTTAAATATTTTTGGGTTGGTCGCAAAGGGCAATACAACATCTTTTTTTGTAGGCCTTATAGAAATCTGTTATTTGCGTTGAAGAAAGTTAAGTGTAATTTATTGAAAGTTTTCAAATGTGAATATACACTGTATTCTCTTTTTTCATCCATTTTTACTTTCCAGGTACATGGCACAAGCAGTAAGCAAACCACTCCTTCACAGTTTTCGGCATACCCTTGCACAAGGTGAGAAATTTTATTTTATTTTATTGTGAAAGAGTGTAATGTGTTCTTCATGCAACTTCATTAGTACCATTTATCCTGTTCTTTAAGGACAAATGGTATGTCATTACACACTGTCCGTTCTCCCAAAGTGTAATGAGACACAATGATTGGGAACATGCATATGGCATAGTAACACGAAGATGCAGGTTAAACAAGAACAATATTATACCATTATTATTTATTATGTTGCATCTTCTATAGGCCTGCATTTTTAATTTGCAGGATGTAGCTTGTAGACACTGACAGAAAATATACTTTAAGACAATTAGGATGCATTTTGTGGAACATTAATTTCTGTTGTATTTCTGTGTAATTTGTAATCTTTGGTAATGAATTGTTATTGGAACTCTCCGACCTTTAAAATCATTCAAGATTTGTTCATTTGTTTCTTACTTTATCGATTGCTTTACTCTCTTTCCTTCCTTTTCCATGTTTTTTTCATATTCCTGTTGTTTTCCACATGTTTCCTCCAACATCCTCTTATTCTACCTTCTTTGCTGATCCGTATATCACCAACTCTTTTCTTCTATGTTTCATTTTTTCTCTTTTTTCTACCTTCTTTTATTTCTCCATCTCATAATTTCTCCATGTATTATATACATTATCAACATCTCTTAAAGGTATTTCAAAGTCTTGGTATGGGGTCATGAATTTGGTTCAAATGAAAATATTGGAAGCATGTGCGATCCTACAATATTCAGTGATCGTTGTCGCGGTTGAAATCGAGTCTAAAGTGATGAAATTGTAAATAAAAAATACTCTTTTTGTTGTATAGCACCCTCTCAAGGTCAAGATATTAATTTAGCTATAAAACAATGTTTTTTGACTAAAATCGACCAATTGGCTATTCCTGTTTGGGAATTATATATCACAACTACATATTCTGAAATTTTCATGGTCGCAGCTACCATTGTATGGCTATAGGCGCTATTCGAAAATTAATTTGTAAATTTTGATATTCAATTTTTCTAGAAAGCAGAAGTGTTCTAGGGGCTAAATTTTGTAGTGCTTATAATACATCCACAGGGGCATCCAAATATTTCAAAATTTTAAAGAATCTTTATCAGGCCAATTTTCAAAGTTTCCCCAAACTTAGTATTACCTTTAACACCTTCTTCACATGTCTGAATACCTTACAGCTGCAGACAAACCGGTGGTCAGAAACCAAACAATCATCCACAGCATGGACTGGCTGAAGCTACACAAGTCCAACGACGGCATCCATGACAACTATGCTGACATAGCATCTCTGGTCATGGTCGGTCTGACGGACATCTGGTCGGCCATCAGGAAGGCCTGTGTGTCCAGGCTGCCCAGTATTCTGGCCAGCTTGACCGTTGAAGAAGCGGAGAAATTCTTTGAAACCTTGGCCAAGGTAGGTTGAATGAGCTTGGTTTTATTGGTTTCTGTGACACGTGTTCCATGGTAATTGCTCTGGCAAAGTCCTAGCTTACACTACCATATACATTACTTACTCTACCCCAGCACCATTTCTTTGAGGAAATTTAAGCATGTTTCGAAGTTTGAAATAGTATGTGTGGGGTCATCAATTATTGATTTATTGAAGACGGTTACTTATGAGATTTACTCTGCACTATATATGATTGATCAAGTAAAATTTGGATTCTTTAGGCCTATGAATTATATTTGTCAAATCTTCCATTTGTAGATTCCGATGACACCTAGTACCTTTTGCCTTATTGAGCCTATGAAATTCTTAAAATTTATAATATCATATAAACAAATATAGAAATATTTTACAATCAAATCTTCCAAAATTGTATTGTAGTGAGCTTTTACAGTGTGTGTGGTGGGCTGAGTATGTTTAACAATGGGTTGGAGCCATCAATTTATCTTTTTCTATAAAAATGATCTTCAGAATCCTTACATATGCAGATGGCCTTTCACCTCAACTTTCCCCTGTTCCCATTACAATGCCATCATTAGGATATTTTAGAAGTGTAGATTTGTTTAAGATGTGTACCTCATAAATGAAAGGTCTTCCAAAACATTATTTGAATTTTTTTTCTTCATCTTTGACCTTTCACCTTTGACATGTGGCAGATATGTCAGAATAATGAGAGCAGCTGGCAGTCTGTAGAGGGAGCTCTCATGGCAATCACCTCGCTGCTTCGGAGGTTCCAGTGGATCAGCCGTCAACCAGTTGAACCTTTCTTTCAGGGGCCTGTGGATAAAAACAAGTACTTTGTGAAGGTAAATGCGACACCATGTTTGTCTGAATGATATTCATGTGAAAATGTCCATAACCTTTTAAAAACTCATGTCTTTGTTGATGAATCATTGTTACTTTCTTGATCGCAACATTCATATTGAGTTGTTTCCTGCCCAGTATATATGTATTTTTAAAATAACAACAAAATGACAAAGCAACCATGTTCTATCTGCACTTTGCAAATTGACACCAAAAAAACCCAAGTAATTTTAATGATCCACTCTGGCATTTACCAAGGGAAATAAAACCCAAGTGAGGCATATCACACTTTTTTTTCAAGAACCTTCATATCAAATTTCTATAAACAAACGTCTTGTATGTTCCTTTCCTACAGTTTGGCAATGAAGAACTGAGTAACATTCCATCGTTCATCACAAGTCGGATGCATTCCATTGTATACCCTCTTCTAGCCCATCAACAGCTAAGCGTCAGAGAGTGTGCCATTAAGGCGTTCACCTCGTTTCTTTCAAAATGTGAATTTCAGGTGAGTTTTCATTTTTTTGTTTGTATAGAATTCTTTCTTCAAGTGGCAGCATCAAGATTTAATCAGAGAATCATAAGAATGAATGTGTGTAACTAGAGTTATTATATCATTATTTCAAAAATATAATTTCCTTTACTATGATATCATTTATTTATTTTTACTTCCTTGCTACTGATTAAGTTACTGCTAATGATATACATACTTCATCAACGTCCTGTACATCATCCGCAGCTATGTGTACATGTTCTACTGCTGCTGCTTTTATGAATACAGCTACTGTTACTACTTCTTCTAATTAGATAGCTATTACTACTTCTATTTGTGCGAACCGATTCTGCAACGTCATCTGATACTGTCATTCTTTTTCCAAATCTACCCCTGCTACTCAATACGACATTAAGTGATACTACTACATATTGCTGCCATTGCTACTTTTTGATATTGCCACTATAAAAAGCAATTTACCAAATTTATTGCAATCCTTTGAATGAAAACAAAGGTTATGCTGACTTAAATCTTGCTTTCATTAAAATTCATTCTTGATTTCTTTGGTTATGTGGTTAGTTGATCTGTATTCATCATGTATTGTGCACACATTTGGCTTCATATAAAGTATCATTCAGTTTTTCAATCTGTCGTTACACTTTACCATTCGATATGCAATGTCATATGAGTACAAACATCCACTGGCAAGACTTATGTAGAGTAAATGGGATGACCTTGTAGGAAGCAATAAATTGAATGCATCAGAACAGTCTACTCCCGTTAGGGAAATGTTTACTTTTAATTAAACAGCACTTACAAACAGTTTTTGATACTGAATGAAAGTTTTTTTTTTTTTTAATTAATGTGAAAGAGTTGCATGGCATGCTCTCGTAAAGATCACAGCAGCGCTTTACAGCGCCACCTGAAGTTGATGATGATGATGATTGTTATTGTTATACTGTTTGTTCTAAAATACCAGAATGAATCCCACGTGTGTCCCTATCATCAGGTAAACATCCTCCAGTTATATATCTTCTTTTAACAAATGATACTTTGAGCAATGCAATGAATTTGAATGTGGAATATGATTTAGATACTTGGGTAGAATGAACTAGCATGCATGCAGCACGATGTGCACAGTTCAGTCCTTGAATTCCAAAGGGAGCTTGAGTTAAATAGCTGCCCGTTTGCTCCTGTGATTTTTTTCTATACAGTCAAACCTGCTTTGGTGACCACCTATCTACAACAAGCACATTTTTTGTTTCCCTTGAAAATGGTTTCTCATTGAAACATGTACTAAAGGAACCTGTCTACAAAGATCACTTTTTGTGTTTTCCTTGGGCGGTCGCTGTAGAAAGGTTTGACTGTAGCATAAATAGATAAGTTTTCAGAGATAAGTTTTTGCAGTAGCATGCCTCTTCAATGCTCTTATTTAGAAAGGGATGTTTTGAAGGAAGCCTCTTATGGTAAAATCATGATCAAGCTACCGGTATACAAAATATGATGTCAGTGTTATGAAATTATACTGTTATTCCTGATAAAAGAGGCTGTTTTATTGATATATGTGGCCCAGTACTGCATAGCCTATGTCACCAGATATAATCTGTCAGTTTAGGGATGGTTCTTAAAGGGGGGTTCTCAGCTTTGAATTGATATCTACCGGTACTTATCAAAATGGGATGTTCCTAACCAACTGGAAAAAAAGAGAACAATATCTACCGGGTAGTCCTAAATTTTGTAAGCAAGCTTTCATTCAGAACTTTTTACAATACAGTGCACTGCAAATGTGATTTTCTACTGAAATTCTGATTCCGTCCGCCAAATGACTTTTTGGTTTCCTCTCTTCAAATTGCTTTTAATCACTCATGCGTGAAATATGCATCATTTGAGTTGCATCAAATGAAAGAGGAGAATCTAAGCTTTGCCGATATGTGTCATTTATTAATTATAATTATGATTAAGTTTTAATAAAACATCGATAATTCTTGGTTTTGTTTTTTCTGGGACGCACTGTATTGTACTTTCACAATTGAAGTGAGGGCTGTATGTAGTAGTTTTCGCTACGTTGGGCAAAACTTCAAGTAAAATGTAGTACCAGTATCTTAAATAGGCATTTGAATGGCATGAACTGGCATTTTTTAGGATTTAATAATGATTAACAGTAACACGCTACAATTACATGGCACTTGAGAGAATGAATTACACTTAACCGACATGCCTGTGCCATACCAATGCTCCATTGCATGATATTTTGATATGAAATATATGTTTCATTGTTGCATGATAAACAATCACTTTCATTGTATGTACATGTATGTTCTGTTTTCAAGAAGTGATACTATACAAGGATGCATTTATGACCAGGGCCCCGTTGCATAAAACTTTCATTGATGGTAACTTTGCCATCAATGGCAACTACCATGGTGACAGGGCTCAACAGCCAATCAAAATCAAGGTTTCCATGGTAGTTGCCATTGATGGCAAAGTTACCATCAATGATAAGTTTTGTGCAATGGGACCCAAGAGTTTGAATTTGTATCTGTCTTGCATTTGTCTTGTAACAAAATTTGGTAAAAAGGAAATGACTGATGTGTTTTTGATGGACCAAATGATGAAATTATTTCACAGGTAGAACTTTCTTTAGAATATTGAGCATCCGATCTATCAATGATGAAAATCTGATCTAGAGATATTTTGAAATGTCTTTTCAATACATGCTTATAATAAACTTATCAAGTATTTTAAATATGAATATAATTTGTAATACATTGTAAAACAAAGGTTGCATGACCCATCAATGATATCCATCCATTCTGCATGTCTACTTAAAGTCATCCAGTTTATTTATTTCCTTTCCATTTTGCTTTTTTTTTTTTTTTTTTTCTTTTTTTTTGTACATCATTGAGATGAAAATTTACAACACTATAGAAAGGAAAAGAAACATTACAGGAATCCCAATAAATCACAATTTAAAATCATAAGTAGTAGACGTAAGGGAGGAAACAACCCCATATAAGGAAGACTTGTACAATGTGTGACCAAAACAAATTTCCATGTATTCTTTTGAATTTGGATGAATAAAAAGAATTGAATAGAATTGAATTGAATACAATGAAATTTTAAAAGTAAATGTAAAAGAAGAGGAACGAAGAAATGAGAGGAGAAATGCATGCTAATGCAGTATGGCACATGACCATATTACATGTTAAAGATCTCATATTCATATATCCTCAAGACAATTCCATTCATCAATGTTCAAATGTTTTTTTCTGCCATTGCAGGAAGCCCTTTCGTCTTTCTCTGATGCCATATCCAGATTGGACCAAGGCTCGCATCTTCTCTCTTCGTCAAATTCAGACACCCAAGGCAGGCCATGTTATCAGGTTCCTCACCAGGCTGTGTTGAAGAAAGACTTCAAGTTTCTCAATGCTTACGAGGCCGAAGGCTTGCTTGGAGTATGTCTGTATCTGGTCAAAGTAAGTGTTGTTTTTGCTTCGACTCAGTGGCTCGAAATTACGTCTAAGAGATGTGTGCACACTGGATTCCAAGTATTGTAGTTCATTCATTATTAACAGGTTAATAGAATAACTAGTTAATAGGTCCCCAGAAAAGAAACATCCATGAACAAGAATATGTTAGTAAACTGGTCTATTGAGACAAGATAGCAAAATGTTTGCAGGAGCGACGGATCTATACAATTTACGATAGTATGCTTGTGTTCTTAATGAATTATACCTGGTTTAGAAACACATGCCTGTTTTAACCCAGAGTCATCAAGGTTGGCAGGAATTACAGATCCAATGTTTCATTACTTTAGTCAGAATGCAATTTGCAAATGTTGTTAAGTGGGACAAGCCATAAATGTTTATCCTACCTAGCAACAACTAATGCATGCAATTTGCATTCTGACTTGTGAGCCTATTATTCGTAGCAGTTAAATAAATGATACTGTACATCGAGGTACTTCACAAAGATGTGTGCATTAAATTTGATTCCATTACGAAAGTGGCCTATTAATGATACACACAGATTTTGTTGGCTTTCTGCATACCATACACAGACCTATTACTAGTTGGTCAAAGTGCCACAAATTTTATACCATGATGTAGGTATTCATGCTGGATGTCTAATTTGCGATTTTGTCTGATGCTTCTTTTGACAGCACATTCCCCCTGGCTTTCTGCTACCCAAATGGCCATTCTACTTCTCGGTGTTCAGCTTATATCTCATGCATCCTGCGTCCACGGTCCGGCAAGCCACCAGTGAACTCTTCAGATATCTAGGTAATCTTTGTTCTAAGGATTCTTTCACTATAGCTCTGTTGCTTGTCCTGCTTAAATGGATCGTTTAACAATGTTAAATCTGAGATACACGGTTCTACATGTTACCAGTGTCTGTGATATGGTGTAATATTGAAGCCCTAAAAAAATCGCGTTTCAAAATGATCAAGAAGTGCCTCAAAAAAGTAAAAAATCTTTGAGTGACCGGTTTTACCATACTCGTTTTCCCCAATAGACTGTAGTGTTATGAAAACCGTTCAGTGAACGGTTTTCAAAATTTGTAATTCCAATCATTAATATCTTGATAATCAGACAGGCGATTGGCTTGTAAAAGTCATGGAGTTCCTGACTGACCTAAAGGTTTATGATTAGCATTGCAGCTTGAGCTAAATCAAGTATTATTTCTAAAGGATCTAAGGCAAATTTACCGGATCTCTTTAACCAGGTTATATGGTATCTGTCTTTAAATAAATCTGCGCAATCGATTGGTTTATCCCGTTAATATGGTGAAATACATTTTAAGCTGGAATCATGCAAATGAGCATTATGCTGTCAGGATAACATCATATGTTATAATCTAAAAAAAGTAGTACTATTCATCGATACTGTATGCAATGGTCATCAGAAGATCAGTATATCTAGTCTTAAGTTAAAGACAATAGATATAAACTAAATTTTAGAGTTTCTGGTTAAACTATACTACCTGCAGTGATATTAAGTTGACCATATTTCTTCAGGATTGTGCCCCTCATGAGAATGGTTGTATTTATATCACCTCAGGAAAGTTTTCTACTAAACTGCCTCATGGTAGATAGTTTATATTTGTGTCATGTCCATCGGTATGTCCCTTTGAAGACTATCTAGAGAATGAATGCCTTTTATCTTGTACGTCCACAGTGGTCAAGGACTGCAACAACTCTGCCCTGCTGAAGCTTGTGCTGCAGGGTCTCAGCGCCAACTGGGGCATCAGCATCAAGTACATGAGCCAGCCTGCCCACACCCTCTCCCACTTCCACACCCTGTCACATGACCACTCAAATCCCACCGCTGCCACCGCTTTCAACACCACCTCAGCAGACGTGCGGCAGGAGGTGCCTACCAGGTCAGAGATTTTTCAGTTCCCAATATTTTTGGGACAAATGTCATCCTATACATTAGGTTTAGGGTTGCACTATGTGAGAGAGAGCGGGGAGAATTGGGGAGTCCTGAAAAGGACTGTTGGTATATGGTCTTCAAAAAGACTGTTGGTAATCTTTCTTGAGCTTATATAGTTCTAAGGAGAACTATAGCACCAGTTGGAGAGGATGGGTGATGGAGTGGCTCGACGTTTCGAACAGGTTGACTATCCGTCGTCAGGAGTGGGCATCTAAATGTCGTCCTATTTAGAAATTCATATTAACTTCAGCAGCAAAGCCGTAAATAATTTGTCTATATTTAATTCCATTACCAAGTTCAAATAATTTCAATATTAAATGTGATTTCAAGTGTGAATTCATTTTAGATAGCAAGGGCCAATTTAGATCTCGGCATGTAAGTCCAGTTGAATATCGTATTCCATTTAAATGTTACTTTCACAATTTCATTTTAATGTCAATATCAAATTTCAATTCTTTGCAGTGATTCTCAAGGAAGGTCACAGATGATCAACAAGATGGAGGGTCACAGGGTCAATGTTAACGTGACCCGAGGTGAACAGCCGCCGGACGAGACTCTGGAGGGGTCACGACCCCGGGCAGGAACTATGGGAGAGGTCACGTCTCAGAGTCCAAGGCAAAACAGGCGTAGGCAGCAACCGTTCTACGGCCAGGGCAAGGCTATCAGCATTGTCAATGTCAGTCAACTTGAAGGAGGTGGGTATTTTATTCAGACCCAAGAAATTGTCTTTTTCTCCTCAAATTTCATACACATTTGTACTCTTCTTACAAAAGATTATGTATCTGATAGACTGATATGGAATTACTTTAAAGAATATTTCATAATACAAGAAGAATTACTGTTTGTTTTCAGTTTGCTTAATTTAATGTTGATGTTTCTTCTTCAAATTGTGCTGTGACTTTTCTTTCTGATAAGGATGTTATATACCTTTTTATTGATCTACACTTTTTGGACCTTAATGTTGTATTGCTCTAAAAGTTCACATGCTAAGGTCAAAGATCATTTGAGGTCATATCACAGTCTTGTGACAAATAACTTCACAACCATTAATCCTATTATCACTAAACTTTGATCTGACATGCACTTGGGGAACCTTCACACTATTGTGCTGTCAAGGGTCACATGGTAAGGTCAAAGGTCATTTGGGGTCATACATTAAAGTTCACATGTAAGACTCACTTATGACAAATAATTTTGCAACTGTTAGTTGTCTTGTGACTAAATTTGGTCACAGGTGGGGGAGACCCAATCCAGCAATTGCCTTGTCCAATCAAATCTTGCTAGTACTTTGAACGTTATGCATTGGTTTCAGATTTCTCAACAGTGCCCGTTGACAGTGTTTTGTGCAAAGCATGGGAGTGGAGGGAAGGCAGGCTCTTTGCCTATGAGCTCATCATGAAGTTCCTCATCGTGAACCACATCCACTACCTGTTCCCTACATTTGCCATGCAGCCGATGAAGTTCAACGGAGCCGCTTCGACGGATGAATCCATCACTCCAAGGTATCATTTCCAAATTCACCGTTAAGTTAAGTTTTTAACTCATGATGCTAACAAATAAAATGTTTGTGTTTGTTTGTTTAATAACTAGGAATAGTTTCACATATACACCCAATTTTGATAAGCCTTGTTTAGATATGATGCAGCAAACATGTAAAGTGTAATGTCACTTATTATGCATGCTGATATAATGACTGCATAAAAAAAAAAACATATGCCTTCCAATCAAGGCCTTCAAAATTATTGGCTTAATCAGCTAGGGAACCGTATTAAAGAGAAGGTTGAGTTCTGGGAAGAGGTGAAAAATAATTTGTGAGCGTAATAATTCTTATTATGCAAGTGTGGAAGATCATCAGATAAGACATGTTCCCTGAAAAACATGGCTCTTCAAATGCCTTTATATTCAAAATATTTCAGTAACATCGTAAAACTCGGGGGGGGGGGGGGGGGGGTAGGATTTTTACGCCACGTGTTCGTGTAGTCCCATATACATCTTTATGTGTACAGTGTTTGTAACTTTACCAAGACTTGGCCAAATTTCTTATCATTTTGATGATTCTAGAACCTTGCAATACACACAAATTCTTATATGCTAGATGATCAACCGTTTTAGTCAATTCCACACCGTTTCTTTCACAATGCAATCGCATGACCAGAACTCAACTTCATCTTTAAATTTAGGGTAAAATACTCAGGGTGAAATACTTATCTAAAAGTTTCAACTGAATACTTAAGCTGGCTAAGTAGTTTGTTTACCTAAACTGAAAACTGAACAAAATCTGATATTTCTGAGATAAGGCTAAGTATTGAATATAATACCGGCCCAGATCATCAACTCATTAGCTTCATTGAAAATACATTGTGATGTTGTTTTTTTCGTTCTACAGCCACAAAGCAAACAAAGTACCTCAAGGCAAGCCACCTATTCAGAAGAGTTTAAGCCATGGAGGTGTGTCACTCAGACAGGCCTGGCTCAAGAAACCGGTAAGATTAAATAAAATATGCAGAGGTGTTGGTTATGGAAGTTATGGGGATGTGGTGACCCCCTGTCCCCTCTCTCCTCTCCATTTGGACAAATTTTGTATATGGTATCTGATACGGATAGTTTCACTTGATAAAGTTTATCAATATTTTTCTTTGCAAGAAATGTAGGCACTAATTTGCCATTGGCACAAAACAAATTGTATTTCACAAAACGATTTTAAGTCTTCAATTACATGGCTACATGACAAGGAAATACTTATGCTCAAAGTCCTAGGAACACCACAAAACACTTCTTAAAAAAAATTAGCAAATTTTTCTTGTCTCTCTACAGTGCTTTCCTATCCAATACTTTGTTTGAACTGAATATCCCTTTTGAATGAAAAAGAATTATGTGAGAAATTATGTATTCTTACTTCTTTCTCAGAGCAGCTTATATTCTCTTCATATGTATGTTTAATTGTTTTACTCTTTCCATCCCCTCCCCAGAGTGACACTTCATCACCGGACGACTCCAGCATTCATACTACTGGTGCTGTTGTCTGCAAACCCCCCACCCCGCCCCTAGGTGCATCCCCACCCATCTCACCCCCTGTTCACAAGGGATCGCCTGATGAGGTAAATTAGCGTGAATCATATTTCTTTCGTGACAATCATTCCACTTTATTTGGTTTGGCTTAATAAATTTTGATAGAAAAACCTTTAGAATGATATGAGATATATGTGTAGAAATTCAAATAAATAAAAGCCATATTCTAAATATTTTATGAAAATAGGTAGTAAGTCTGTCATGACTAAATTGAAAAATCTTATGTAGAGACCATTAGCATATTTTGCATAGGTTTTAATGTTTCTGGTTTTCTATAGAGGAAAGACAGTTATTCATTGTTTGCTTCTTTTTTTCTCTCTCCTTTTTTAAAAACTAGTTCTGGGTTTGTTTGGTTGTGTTTTTTGTTGTTGTTGTGTGTGGATGAAGTACTTGGTCTTCTCCAGGTACAAAGCAGTTCCTCATGTTAATTAATCAATTCTCTTTTTTCTCTTTTTTTTTTTTTACAGGTTCTCTCAAGAGCTGGAAGTGAAAGGAGAAAAAGTCGACTGGAGAACAAGAGGTAAGAACTCTGTAAAATTATGATAAATCTATTTTACAGAAAGGAATCGCTCTTTTTCTATGAGATAATTGATCATAATTTATTACACCAGCTGACTATTTGTACCTGTTTTTTCTTTCTTTCTGAATTTTAGAAAGCAGTAATGTAGATCATCAAAAATATACTCCATCTACATTTAGATCATTTACCACAATATTATTCATTTAGTTTACTGGTAGCCCTTCAGTCCTGTGAAAAGCCAGGCAGATAATGATTTGCATCATAAAATCTCTAGAGAGCTGTTGGAAATGAACAATGAGTCCTTTTAAAATATTTTTTTCTTTTATCCATCCATCCAAAATACTGTCAGTTGTTCTCTACTGATTTTTTTAACCGATTGCATTTTTGCCAGAAGACAATCTCACAGCATTTCTACCCCCTCTTTCAAACGGCGGGCATCTCAATACTCCAGGAAAATGTTACAGAGGTTTGTCGACAGCATATTGATTTAGAAAAAAAACCTAACAGTGTTTTTAATTTGAGTGTGGTTAGAGTAGCAATACTGTGGACTCTAACTAATTACCTAAACAAAATTTGCTCTACTTTTGAAACCCATATCAATCCTAAATCAAAGCTCGCCTGTGAGACTTTCTGAAGTTTCTAAGCTAACTCCCCTCCCACATTTACCTTATTATAATATTTGATCTGTGTGTGTTGGTTATTTTACCTGACTGCTAAGAAAACATAAATGCTTGTTAGCAAGCAACAAGAGGACCGACTGCTTTAGGTCCTCTCCAAGGGTGATGAGGATTAATGCCTTACCAATTAAGCTATCGTGCCTCCACTTACAAAAGTATGAAACCAATTCCTATAATATAATCCAATAATACCTATTCCAAGAAGTTATAAGGCTAATCTTTGAGAAATTTGAAATAGTCTTTTGTTGTTGTTGTACACATGAAATTCTGAACTAACCCCAACAAAATTTGCAATATTAAAATACAGTGTGAACCCCAGATTATCAAAAAAAAGGCTAATGAAAAATCTAAAACAGTGTAGGTGGAGGCATATGGGAGACAAAGACGCATTTATCTTGTTTAATTGCCTCTTCTAATTCTAACTAATATTCTACCAAAAAGTGCTGTATTTGATCAAAATGCAGTGTGAAAAAGCATGTACGACGCCTCAAAGCTGAAATACATTTGTGAGAATTGTCAAACTGGTGGTCAACTCTTTAATGAAAGGCATACCAGCCTAAAATGTCAGCATTTAAAACTTGTAGAGGTACATAAAGGTGTGTTGTGTTACTCCTATAATACTCCATCTCACATCCACTGTGTGGACATAAAACGTTATTGAATTTTGGTAGCAATATAGAGCTTGATTTATCATTTATTGTACTTATTACATCTTTCTGTTTCATAAGTGGACTTAAGGAGAGAGAAGGTAAAAAAAAAAGTAAAAGGGAAGAAGAAATGGAAGGGAAAATGTCGCAGGATAAGAGAGGAGGAAATAATTTATTTATTAAAATAAAAATTGATGAAGGTAAAGAAGACAAAGAATAACTTGAAAGAAAAAGCAAAGAGAAAATTGCATTTAATACCAAGTAGTTTCAGGCCCTTGATGACATACAATTGATAGATCCCTCCAATGTAGTCTTAATTGATGTCTTAATTACTATCCCTTTTTGTTTTGTGTGGTACCAGAATAGTTTTGATTAACACAAAAATGTTCTTATTTGAGTTCAAGCACTTATCCAAATTGGTAGTCTTGTGTGTAATCTCCATTCTTTTGTGAACTTGACGACTATTTTCCTAAATATCTTTGAAGTCAGAAGTGTTTTCATTCTTCATTCTAATTCCTCTGCTACCCAAGATTGTGCCCCGTGTCTTCCGTTTTTAGTTAGTTCCTGTTTTCAAACATACTCTCAACCTGATTTCATACGTACTAACACAATCTTTTTTGTTATGTATAATAACCTCACTTTTCTCCATGGTTACACATGTATAGTACAAGCAAAGAAAGCGAAAGCAAGATTAGGTAGTAAACGACAGGTAGTAGAAATAATAGGAATATGTGTGGAGGCAAAAGAGTAGGAAGAGTTTTGTGAGGAAAATGGAAATTGATTAGAGATTTTTTGTCATTTTACTTGCTACATTGTAGATGTTTGATCTTAATGTTTTTATCTTCAATCTATTGTCATGCTATGTTGGGAACAAAGACATTTTAGAAGAAGGTTTGTAAAAAAAAAAAATGTTCAAAATATATTCAAGCTTGAGCTACTAGGTGAACCATTCAGATTCATTTCCCATTTCCGGTTTCATAGAATATCTTCTTGCCAAAAGTTGACTCCAAAAAATCAACAAACTAAGCCTGGCCATTTTTCTTGGAGAATATTTCAAAGTGCAAAAAAAAGGATAACATCAATTGCCCTTTTTTAGCTTTTTCATGCAAGATATTTCAAACGGAACGGGAATGTTAGCTCATCTTTAACATGGAGGAGGAAATAATCCCTTATATTGAATGTAGTTATCAAATGAATTTGATTGGTTCAAAGCAAATAATGCATCCTTTGATTTACTTTTCTAGAATAATCTAGAAAAATATGCTTTTGATTTTTGCATATCATTGATTTTGTGCCATGCTTTTAGGCTAATTTTGATTATTTTGCAATTTTCTGGCGCTACTGTATTCAACTTGCTGCATTCCATTAATGTATTTTATGAATGTGTATATGAATAGAGATTACAAGTAGAGTATACAGTATGAAGAATTTATGAAAACTAATCTTATTTATTTTTTTGTCATAGAAGAAAATTTGCTCATAATTTGATTTTGCAAGCACATTGATACTGGCAGATCCATTATTATAAAACTATTATTGGCAAATTTTTCTGTCTTTTAAATTCTACTATTTAAGGTTTAACATGTAGCGATATTTGCTGAGATCATAGTTTGTATGTGTATTTCATCTTACAGACTTCATGAACCGATTTTGCTATATTTGTGTACTTTCTGTGATGTTTAATACTCTCTGCACGTTACTTACATACATGTAGAATAGAAACTTCTATATCTAGATCAGTTTTTTTTTAATTAGCCCGACATACTAGTAGTTCACTTGGAAAGCCATGTGTGAAACAGTGCCATACAAATAAGTGTAAGTTTTTAGTTGTAACAAAATGAAATTAGTTATGAAATAAAAAATGAGCTTTTTTAAATGATTATATATGAATGTTGATTATTGGTATAGTTACATAATCATCTCAATTTTCACTGGATGAGAGGTTGACATTTAATGCCACATACCTTAGGGAACTAAGTCTACCCTCAGAGTCAGGTTTCTGACCTTGTTTTTAAAGGGAAATCCAACCTTGATAGCAAAGTACTGTAGAAGAAAGCAGAAAATCAGAGAAGCAGACTTGTAAAAGTTTGTATAAAATCAAAAAATGAGAATGTCATAAATTGTTGATTTGCAATCACTGTAGGTATGGGTTCTTCAAATTGGCTGAGTCGGTAATGCCTCTGTGATGTAATGTCGGACAACTTTCTCATTTGTTTCAACATACAACATGTCAAAAATATTTTATTTTTTTCAAAAATGTATTTACTCAGGATTGTCTTTTCTTTTTAGAGGACCCGTAGGGTGAAGGATCTTGGGAGAAAAACAGAAATTCGTGATATTTTTATACAAGAAAAATTGCAGAGGAATCCGTCACTACGTCACAATTAATCCACTGACAAAATTGTCAAATTAAGATTTGCATACCCATAGCTGTTTTTCAAACATTCCTAACTTTATTGGTCTGAATTATTTCAAACTTTTGCCATTCTGTCAATTTGAATTTCAAACTTTCACCATTCCTTTTATTTGAATTTTCTGCTTTCATTCAAATTCACTTATTTCGAGGATTGTATTGCCCTTTAAGTAAATGTGCCTTAAAACCGCGTCCTAACTCTATGTCTGCTCTTGTTCTAATGTGCTTTTTTATGTGATTACAATTGTATTTTGAGTAGTGCCCCAAGGGTGAAGGATCTTGTATTTTCATCATTTTATGTATCATTGGATGCAAATCAATTGCAATTTAACATTAATGGCAAAGTATGTGTACTTAAAAGATAAGAGTTACAAATAATTTCAAGTTATTTGAATAAATTGCAACTCTTTATAAGACGTGGCCCAAATCTTTATGTGAGGAGACTAGTAAATCCAAGAAGGGGCTACATCTTCTTTAATAAGAGTTGAATCGTAGTTCATAAATAAAAATGTACTAGTGTTTTATTTAAAATTTTAAAAAATTAAACCTAAGAGAAATGGTTGTAAATTTTGGTGATTGTACATGTACAGCTTTGGGGAGGGAGGGGGGGGGGGGGTTGTAGATTGCTTTTCACACTTCTTGCATACTATTATGATTTGCTTAATGCATGTCCTACTATACTGGCGGTAAGTATATGTGTCAATGCAAGTATGTATGCCCCAGTTATGATTATAGAATGACTTTTTTTTTAATGGGAACGCCAATTCCAGCTGCCTATCCAGTAATGTTGCTAATCGTTATGTGCAATGCTATTGGGTTAAGATACCAAGTCAATCACCTTCATTGTTGATATTATAGTCATTAACAATATTTTCATTATATTTTTCATTAAAAAAGTGATCATAATAAAGGCTTGTTCAGATATGGCGCTGTAAACTGCTGCTGCATATTTGTAACAATAAGATTATGAAATGTTAAGCATATTACACTTTTAAAACGTCAACAAAAAAAAGCTGCGGTTTTCCCCACGTCATATCTGAATGAGCCTTCTGACTAATATACTTCTGTGCACATATCAATACGGTTATACCATAAAAAGACTTATTTAAATGAAGTCAAACTATTATCTATTATCCAATCAAATGGCAGGGCTCAAACCATGGCAGAAGGGACATTTTTCAACCAGCCAATCATGAAGCACTACTCATTCCCAAGTACTGCAGAGGGGAACCTACCGGGGGGTAGGAGGGCAAGCCATGGCCTGAGTGGGACCCTCTCCCTGCTGGGGAAAACGCACGACACGGATAAGAATCTGAAAATTCAGGTAAGATGGCTAATTTTTACATCTTTTTGGTGCGTTTATCCTGTATACTCTGTTTTTATTATTTATTTGTTTTGTTTGTTGTAGATTTTTTCTGGGACATTTGATATCTTTAAAATATGTCTAAAATATGTTGTGAAAGCGTACCAATCACTTACAGATATAGTATGGGTATAGCTTCTTTTTTTTTTTTTTAAGTCAACCTTCACCCAGCAAAATCTTCGGCTTATGTTAAAATTTCTTTGAAATATACTTTGAATATGTTGTTTAAGTGTACCAATTACCTAAACATTCTGAGATGATCCTCGGCTAAACGAATCCATATGTATTATCATTATTATTATAAGTTCAGAGTTATTATTATGAAAGCAACATCTATTTATCAGCATCAATTTATCAGCAACAAATGTTGTAATATCACTTTAGACCAGGAACTTGTTAGAAGAGTCCAAGAGCACCTTGAATGAGCCTATCCAGCAATCATCATTGTGTACAAATGATGAAGAGGAGATTACCCTCTCAAGTGAAGCCAGGCATCTCCTAAAAACCTACCACTCTCTCGCCAGGTAAGTCCATGGGGTAACAAGGTTGGGAGGGGGGATTCCTCCCTATAATGGGACTGCCCTCACTTGCCTTAGACCCACTGCAAGTTGTATTGATGGGGGGGGGGGGGTGGTCATTTTTTGGGGTTATGAAAGGGGAGCATGCATCTGTATACCTCAGTGGATAAGTTACAAGAAGGGTCACTCAGGAGGGGGCGCCATTGAAAATTCTGTGCGAGCACACTTGGCCATGTTTTGGTTCTCCTGAAGAACATGAGGAATGGGGTGCAGGTAATACTCAAAGGAGAACAATACACCTTGTCTCATCAAAAGACTCTTGGCCAACAACTTGTTTTTAAGGATAATATCTGCTGTGTATTAAGACACAAACAGGACTTCATGTAGCACATTTCTTGCATTATGGGGTAGGGGATGAGATTTTTAAAATTTCCATTTGAATTAGGTCCATATTTCAACTTGACCCAGTCTTGTATAAGCTGAGTTTTGTAGTCAAAACTTCATGATTGGCTTTACAGTATGTAATCAATTTCAACTCGTGTACAGGTCCGAGTAAACTGTACAGTAACTGTGTTGTTTGTGATTCCCATCTGGTAACCATTAGATTGTCTCCCACTATTTAAAAATTGTTCTGACTTGTTATTCTGTTGTGGACGGTGTCATGGTATAGTGGTTCATTTACTTGGATCTCAGTCCTAGGGTTAAGGGCTCAAATTTCAATCTGGCACTATTATCCTTTGGTGAGACATTAATCCATGTTTGCCACTCTCCACCCAGGTGTAAATGAGCACCTGGCAATTGCTGGCGTAACAGTAATTACAGGGCCCTCTGAAGGAAATGCATTAATGTTGATGAGGCTTCCCTGGATATAAAACAAAATCACGATTGTTATTCTGTCATCTTTGTCAGGAATGACCGAGATGCATCCAAGACATCCACACAGTTGCCATGGTTACAGGATCTTCATCTGGAGTCGCTGACCAACATCCTGCATCAGATCATGCTGCAGACAGTCAACTCCCTGGCAAGCAGTAGATGGGAACTCAGGAGGATGAGCCAACAGGTAGGTGTTGTATTTATGTGTACGTGAATGGGAAGTCCACCCTGATATTAATTTGTTGTCATCAGTGACATAATTTAGGAGCTCCTCTCCAATTTGCTCTGTAAAGAAAATTTCATAAACTTTCATTTCCTAAATTATCGATAACAGAATAGATTTGTTTCACACAGGAGTTGTATAATAATAATAATAATAATAGCCTAATAGTCCACTCCAAATTTTATTAAACCGAAACGGAAATTCTTTTTGCCCAATTGATCGTGAGCCCGGCAGCCACTGAGCAGCGCCAGATCGACGTTGCTCTATCCCTTATTGTTGAACGCCAAACAAGGTAGCAACAACTCCCATCTTTTAACGTCTTTTGGTATGACGCAGCCGGGGTTCGAACCCACGACCTCCCGGTTGTGAGGCGGACGCTCTACTGACTGAGCCAACATATTTGCGATAATTATATGTAGGGTGAATGTATGATTGAAGATTTTCATAAGGGGAAATATTACTTTTTGAAATATTTTAGTACAAGGGAAAATGGGAGGGGACACGCAAGATACCACAATGAGTTGCCAATTTGTGTTTCATCGATTGCACCTTAAAAAATGTATAATTTTCTAATTATGCCTCCGCCACCGAAGGTGGTGCCGGAGGCTTCATGTTTTCGGGTTGTCCGTCCGTACGTCTGTACGTCCGTACGTCCGTCCCGTTTGACCGTTATCACAATATCTCAAGAACCATTTAAGATTTAAACTTAAGATTCGGGAATAGTATTTATCACCATAGGAAGACGATCTGATTAGATTTTGGAGTACGTAGGTCAAAGGTCACAGGTCACAGAGGTCAACTTATGAAATTCCTTGTATTGAGTTTGTTAGCGCGATATCTCAAGAACCATTTGAGATTTAAACTTCAAACTTAAGGATAGTATGTATCACCATAGGAAGACGATCTGATTAGATTTTGGAGCACGTATGTCAAAGGTCAAGGGTCACAGAGGTCAACTTATGAAATTCCATACATTGAGATTGTTATCATGATATCTCAAGAACCACTGGAGATTTAAACTTAAAACTTAGTGATAGTGTGTATCACTATAGGAAAACAATCTGATTACATTTTGGAGCACGTAGGTCAAAGGTCAAGGGTCATAGAGGTCAACTTATGAAATTCCATACATTGAGATTGTTATCATGATATCTCAAAAACCACTGGAGATGTAAAAACTTCAAACTTAAGGATAGTATGTATCACCATAGGCAGACGATCTGATTAGATTTTGGAGCACGTAGGTCAAAGGTCAAGGGTCACAGAGGTCAACTTATGAAATTCCATACATTGAGATCGTTATCGCGATATCTCAAGAACCACTGGAGAATTTTCACTTCAAACTTAATGATAGTATGTATCACCATATCATAATATCTCAAGAACCACTGGAGATTTAAACTTCAAACTTAATGATAGTGTGTATCACCATAGGAAGACAATCTGATTAGATTTTGGAGCACGTAGGTCAAAGGTCAAGGGTCACAGAGGTCAACTTATGAAATTCCATACATTGAGATTGTTATCATGATATCTCAAGAACCACTGGAGATTTAAACTCCAAACTTGTTTAAATTGCTCTATGGCGGAGGCATCATTTTCGACTGCGCGCAGTCAAAATTCCATCTAGTTTTTAATCAGTTTTCGCTCAAACTTTCACGGACAAGTTTTCTCATATTTCTGAATCCATTGAAACCAACGCAATACCAGCTAGGGTAGATTACACCTTTAGGTGTAGACAGTATTATGGACAGAGGGGTTTAATAGACATGCTTTTGTGGTCATCCACCTCTCACCTTACAAACAAAACAACAACACTAAATGTGAAAATTAACAGAAGTTTTCCATGCTCATTGTACTTTATTCACTTGTAGTCAGTCAGCGCGCCACAGGAGATAATTTGCAGATATTTATTCAGTTCATGTTCAAGGCTATTTGGGTTATGAATACGTAATGAGTCTTGCAAGGGTCTGGTTTATATTCAGCATTTTCTACAATTTGATTAAGTTTCCATCCATGACGTTGGTATCACTGGACAGAAGTATATATATACAAGGATCCAAAAGATACCATTCATTCGTCTTTTATGACGTTAAACATACTTCACATTACTTGCGGCATAAAGATTTTATATTAGCTGTAAAGCTACACTATCATTATTCAATATGAGACCCTATTCATTATGTCTCATCTTTGAAGGCAGTCAGGAACCTTCTCTCATCATTTCTAAGCACAAGCCAGGATACCCTTGACTTGAGATCACCATCGAATCTCCCTCCATCATCCCTTACAGGCCCTGCCCCTGGTAGCAGAGTGTCTCCGCTGGTACCACCCAGAGACCCTGGTCAACTTCTGGAAGGAGTGCCTGACCTCAGAAGCCAGTCTCCTCTGCTACGGTGCAGCCCTCACACTCAAGCACAGCATCCAACATGCAAACAGGATGATGCAATACCTACAGCAACCGGTCTCAGGGTGGAGGGTGAGTTCAGTTTGACATTTTCTGTTTGTTTCCTTGTTCGTTTAGTGGTCTTTGACCACTTAATACAGTCAAACCTGCTTTAGTGACAACCTGTCTATAAAGACCACATTTTTTGTTTCCCTTGAAAATGGTTTCTCATCGAAACATGTACTAAAGGAACCTGTCTACAAAGACCACTTTTTGTGTTTTCCTTGGGCGGTCGCTATGGACAAGTTTGACTGTAATGGAGTTGAGTTCTGGTCATTCACTTACACTGTACAAGAAATTGGAAAATTCACTGATTGCCTTTCTTTTATTTTGTTGTTTTGAAATACTTTTGTTTATTCTAAACAACTAGCTAAAAGAAAAATGTATCGGACTTTTGAAATAATGGTGGTCATGTTAACATCTCTCCAACTCATTTTTTTCCCTTCTCTCACAGCGTGACTCAAATACTTGCCGTCAGGTCTCGGCCTCCATCGTAGTAACCGTCACCCAGGGTCTTTCTGGCTATGTTGGCATCGCCAAGCAGCTCATGGAGAGAGAGGTCATTGACAAGCTTTCTGTTGTTGCCATGGAGATCCTCCTCATCTCGCTGGCCCACTTTGAAGAGGAACTAGAGCAGGTGAGTGACTTGGCATTTTGGTTTAAAGTGGCTTCTTTTTTATGCTTTATTTGTGTTACATCATATATTGCACATTAATAAAGCTACCTGATGTTGTGATCAAGCACAAATGAGTTAGAAATATTACGTAGGAAATATTAATAAACTCTTCTTGGGTTGGCTAGACCAGAAAGTGTCACTAAATTTAGAAATAACTAAAAATGAAAGAAATATTTCTCCCCAATTTGTATTTTGAGATCACTGTGACATTCTGTTAGAGTGTTTTCCCCATTCAATAGCATTCTGGTTTGTTGTGGTAAAGTTAGTTTCTTTTACAAATTACTTTTCTATTATGAAATTTGTATCAGTTTTTAGAATGTTTTTATCCAGTGATCATTTTATTTTTTCTTTAGTCATTATCAACACTCAAGATTATCTTCTCATCTTGGAGCAGGAAAGATATATCTTGAAATGCACGTATATTTGAACAATTTTCTTGCAGGAGAAATGTTCCCTTGATGAGGCGCTACACCAGTTCCAGACCCGGATCTTTAGCCACGCCCATCCTGAGAGTGAGGTCTGCACTCAGCAAGCCAAGTTCACCAATGCTCATGATGTGCTCATGCCTTTAGATGGATTCTTATGGTGAGATGCGCGCTATGTGTCTCTTAATCGTGTTTCTTAAGTCTAGGAGCCTGTCCCGAATTAGACCCTCACCCGTCAAGCCCATGATTTGGTCCGGTGGTATCACTTAACAGGGAGAGGGAGATTTAGGAAAAAGCACCCTCTGCCGATCAGTAGACTTCTAATTTTGCATTTTCTATGATTAAATATGCCGATGATACGGTGATTACAGGGTATATTTCAGATGATAATACTGAACGTTATTTTTCATTGATCCAACAGTTTGTTGAATGGTGTGACAGGCACCACTTACAACTAAATGTAGCAAAAACGAAGGAGATCATAATAGATTTTCGTAAGAGAACTGTAGTGGATCATGCACCCCTTTGTATTCACGATTCCGTAGTCGAGCAGGTTAGCGAGTACAAATATCTTGGCACTACTATATCATGTAAATTGGATTGGTCAAAAAATGTCAACATTATCCAGAAGAAAGCAAATCAAAGGCTTTATTTCCTTAGACAACTTAAGAAACTCCACATAGATAATACACTTCTTGTTCTGTTCTATAAATCAATCATTCAGTCTATCTTGACATTCAATCTCATTTGTTACTTTCGTAATGGAACACGTGCTAGCAAAAGGAAAACAGAAAGAATAAGGAAAATTGCTCAGCGCATCACCGGTTTGGAATTGCCCAGTTTAGAAAGTATATATGTTGATCGTACATTGCTGAAGATTACTCGTATTATGAAAGACCCGTCACATCTTTTGTTCCATAATTATAATTTCAACCGTTCAGGAATTCGCCTCTGCGTTCCCCGCACTAGGCGGGAACGCTTCAGACGCTCATTTGTACCAGATTCAACTCACATGTTCAACAGTATGGTAAAACGAGGGCAATCAATGTAGACACTGTACCCTTTTTATTTTATTGCTTTCCTCCATTCCTATACAAGTAGTCAGATCTTATTTTTAGATGAAACGCCATTGATGTTATGTTGTTATTATGTTTTATAATCTGTTTAATTTTGTACATTTCCTTGTAACACAATTGTACCAGTGAACAATGAATTTCCATATTATGGACAATAAATCAATTCAATTCAATTCGATTTTCTTTTTCGAGTAAAATTGGTGCATACCATTGGGACATGGAGGTTGGAAATATGTCTACTATTTTGATTAGGCCTTATGTTACCAAAGCTGTCAATGCGTAGGCCTGGGACAAGTACCAATTTTAATGTTGGTATAGTTTGAATTTGTGAACATGCCAGTGTGGTGTTCGGTGCAGTCGCTGACCCTGTATTCACAATCGATAATTGATACACTTTGATATTGTGATATGTTGGAAGTAGGAATTATTTAGAAGTCAAAGGTGATACTTATGATTTTCATCTTGACATTTTCAAATACCAACTTCATCCTGGCGTTTTAGATATTTGAATAAATCCCAATCACTATTCAAATAGTAGAACAAGTGGTATTCATGTTCTGGTCATAGGTAAGCCATTCAATTAGTTCAAATATATTGAATATAAATCCCAGACCTATCATTCTGGTCTGTCAATGACAACTTTTTAGTCACTGATATAGAAAAATGTTATGCCTGTTCCGGATGCATCTTTTTGTCCACTGCATTTTTATATAAAGCTAACTTGTGAAAACCAACCTTTCCTCCCATGACTGCAGTTGTTGCCTACGTGATGAGAATGCAGCCCCTCACATCAGGCAGCTGGAACGCTACGTCCTGCGAGAGACCCACTGTCTCATGCTGGACTACCTGAGGCGTTGTAGTCCTGGTACAGCCTGCCAAACCTTACCTCTGTACCTGGCCCTGCTCCAGGACTACCAGCAAGACGAGGACATCTCAAAGACATTACTGGATGGGTAAGAATAAAACGAAAAACACTCCTTCCCCCCTCATATACAAATTTATGTACTGATTCAAATCCAAACATAAAGAATCATTGAGCTGCATGCATACAAAAAAGCAATTGTTAATCTCCTTGCCATTGTTTCAAATGGTTTACTTCTTAAAAAAAGTATATTGTTTTAAAGGGTACCAGTCACCTAAAATATAATTTGTGTAAATGTGTAAAATTGATCTTAAAAATTTTGTTTTTACATGACTATCTGGGGTTAATGGTTAAGGAGTTTAAATGTAATATAAAATCCTGAGCAGGAAACCAATTTCAAACCTCTGATCTTTGCATGGACTAATTTACTTACAGCTTTTTTTTTCATTGTGTAAATTTGCAATACCGGTATCTCTTTATTGAAGTAGTATTTGAAGCTCATATTATGATCATAGATTAGTAACGCAATATGAATCCCTTATAATTGAGATCAATTGTTTGTTTTATTCTTTTGTTGATTGGCACCATTTAATGTAAATAATAGAAATCAAACTTCATCAAATATGATGTAAACTTCATTCCCCTCAGCCTCTTCTCACTTTCCCCTTTAATGACTGAACCAAATCTTTCTTCCCAACATCTTTAGATGCTGCTTACTGGTCACTGTGGTCAAAGGTCACATCACAGAGAATGGCAATGCAGAGATTCCCAAGGATTTTAATCACCACCTAGAACTATCCCTGGCTCAAATTGCTTCACTGATCAAGCTCAAGGTATGTACAGAGAAGTTTTGATTCAATGAAAAAAAGTTTCTCTACTCAGTTTAAAATTACTTTAAAACTACTTCTGAAATAGTAAAGCTAAATCTTATTTGTAAGCCAGATTTGGCTAGCTTTACCATGTGCCGTGATTTGAGAGTTGCATATCGCATGCTTTGAATGGCTGCACGATCAAGCGAATTTTAACTCGCTTTTTTTGTACAGATTTACCGCGTAACCGCTACATACATTGCGATAGTAAGGCCCTGCAATCGCCTTTTAAGGGTACAGATTTCATATTTTCAAATGTTGGCAGGTATGTGTATGATAGCATATCCCTTCTTCATGTTGAGCCCCCTGCCCATTATACAACCTGCCTATTATCCAACTTTTTGAATTAATCATAGTTTTATCAGCTTTGGAAATCTAAACAAACAATCTTCCTGATTGAAATATAAATTCCTTAGATCAAAACTTTAGTGCATTGTCGCCCTCTTGTTAGGAGTAAGGGCCAGTTTGGCTTTAAAAAAGTGGTCTTACTTAACTACGATTCAGAGCCTGTTAACTTTTTTTTCCTTAAAAGAGAACTTGCAATCCCCTGAAATTTCTATTTGAGTACAATATGACTACTCAGAACAACAATTACTCTTTCACATGTTGGTATGTTCAATACTATCGCAATTTGTTCACAAAATTTTCAGATGATGAAGTTCCACCAAATCATTCATTTTGCATTATCTCTAGTTTATCTTCATAACAGTAATAATAATAATATAATAATAATGAATATAATAATATGTCTTGTTTTCCCAGGGTAGTCTCATCAGTATTAATACTGTTCTCCTGATGGCCCTGCAATCATATTTTTACCCCCGGCTTTAGCCAAGTTACCCTTGAAAAAGCACTCAAGCATTTAAGGAATTTTTCCCTACCAGGTACCCATTTACACCACCTTGGTGGAGTGGGCTAATGTAGATTAATATCTTGCCAAAAGACATTAGTGCTGCTGCAAGACCTTAAAGTGACTCAGTAAACCTGTTAAAGGTTGATGGAAAAATACGTAATTTTTTAATGAAATGTTACTTATTACATGTATATTTCTTCTACTGTACTAACCCTCTAGCATGCAAAAAAACTTTAAAAATTCTCATACCACAAAGATATTTATGGTTTTCTTTGAAAGGGTCACTGGTCAACACCCTCCAACCGTTTTTCCATGATAATAAGACATAAGACAGGCTTTTAAAATTCTTTCAACGCTTATATGTCTGGATTTGGTATATAGAGCCAATTTATAGCTTTATTACAATTTACATTCACCAAAAATATAATTAATTCGGAATAATATAGTTGGGAGAATTAAGGAATCGATCAGATGAGTTTTTCCCAATTTTTATCATTAATAATGGTCTGTTTTCACTCAAATTTTCAGATTATCTTTAATTGTACATCTAGCATTGAAGTCACTACCTCAGCACCATTTTCTTTCATCTAAACAATGTTAGCAAGTCTCTTTTTGTCTCTCTTTTTTTGTAGACCCTTGATTTATCCACCTTGAGGCAGATGCTAGAGATGTACCAGGACCTCAGTCTGTGCATTCAGTCCGCCACACATCTCCAGAAACTCTTTTCTGCAGTAGCCTCAAGATTAGATCTCATGGTAAGTATATGAGCAAGATCATGGTTGAATACATGAGAGGAAGAAAGGCCCTATGCCATCAACACACTTTTTGAGTCATCAAGAAATCATAGTTTGATAAGGTGAGGTGGTGAAATGATAATTTCAGATAGAATGAAAATGAACTCAATAATGACCAAAACAAAGTGACAAACAAGTTCTTATTTTAATCAGAAAAGAACAAGAATATAATTTGTTTGCAAATTATAAAAGATTTACACACATGTATTTACAAATTTACAATTTCTGGTCGAGGTTAACTAGTATCTTGGAGTGCTCAAAATGTGTCCTATCTTTCTACACTTGGTATTCACTGCCTCTCGGATGTCTTTCTGTGGTAATCACTGCCTCTCGGATGTCTTTCTGTGGTAATCACTGCCTCTTGGATGTCTTTCTGGAGCGGTGCAGTTGCTGTTGATCCCAGAAACTGCTGGGCGACAATAGCCTGGAACGCTGGCTTCTGTCGCATGCTATCCTTTGTCACCCATTTCCTACCGCTGAAATATTCTCCTCCGTGGTAGTTACTCCTCGCTAACTCTTATCGCGTGAACACCTTGGTTAGGAGCTTGATGGCAAGGGATTTTGGACCCGTGCATACCAGATATGCCTTGAAGTACTGGTCCATGGCAAAGGTCAGTACTCTCCCATCATCGAGCTGGTAAGTCCTGTGGCGAGGACCTGGCTGGGGCATCGTGCCAGTTCATCTCCTGTCGTACCTTCCGCAGATCATGCTAGAGCCGCTGATTTTGCGGATGAAGACATCTCCAAAGTTCGGCTGTTGATGGAGTGGAAGGTCGAATCGCTGAGGTGGCATTGAAGGTGCTGGTAGGTAGTATGCATAGTGGTAGTTGGCCTGCTGGGTGGTAGGGAGCAGCACACTTGACTGTCCCGATGATGACAGCGAAGCTGGTGGGTGGTTGAATGAGTCCTCAAAGTCGCTAGATATGCCATAGTACTGGGATGGCATCATCGACGGGTCGGCGACTTGGGGTGGTACGGGGAGGGCATTAGCGACTTGACAGGGATGGCGGCTTGATGACTGTCGGCGGTGGATGCAGAGTCCCAAACCCAGCCCTTGGGTAGGCCACGAGTGCTCCGTACTTGACGTTGACGCAACTTTAGCCCTTCTCTGCAAAAGATCAAAAAGAAAACACAATTAAAGTACAAATGCCAAAATTGCCTTGTCGAGTGGGCAAAAGCTTTACATATCGATTCACAAAAATATATTCTCTCATCATTTTTCTTAATTTGATAAGTGTAAATAGTATACTTACTAACTGACAGTATCTTGGCTTTGTGTTGAACTCCCTTGTATGCGACTTGAACTTCCATTCCGACTGACAGATCCCAGGCTTTCTTCACCCTACTCCTTGGCACTGTCTCATGCACTCTTATCCATTTGGAGAAGAGCCATTCAATTGTGACTGTAATCACTAGATCCATGTCTTAACCATATGGTTCTACTTCATTGTCATAAAGTTATGATTTTCAACAGTTATCAATTTTGCATTCTAGATGTATCTCTTTGTGGCACTTCATTTCGCCAGTCTAGCTTTCACTAATTTGTAAACTATCAGCAATATTCTGCTCACCATTTATAATTTGCCTTAACCAGAAAGTGGCCTTCTCTTTAATCTTGTATAACCCATCCCTTGTCCATCTTTTCATCCATCCAGCCCTTGACCAAAGCATCTCTAAACCCGGCCGAGGATAACAATAGACTGGTACTGTTTGCGTCCAACGACATCCCAGCCAGTCCTGTCGATACCATGAGGATCTCTGATGATGAGGATGATGAAGATGACAGAAAGGGTAAGTTAAAGACCACTGCCCTTCCCCACGCCCAAAATATTGCACTTAAAGGCCTCGTCAGTATGATGGGTTCAATGTCCTCTCATAGCAGCAATTTCCTTTGTCTAAAGAAAGATGCTTTAAATCATTAAGTATTACATGAAAATGTATTTATTGATTCTTTAAGTGCCTTTGGGGAGGTGGGCTAAAGCCAGTGTAGTAATAGTAGTTTAGCAGTGCAAGTGCGGAGAGGTGCGTGATGTTCATGAACGACAGGCCTAGCGGCCTGGGCTGGTACTGGCGGTACGGTGTGCATGTGATGTCCATTAGTGTGCAGGATACGAGTTCTGCCATTGCCGTTAGACGCTTGAACAAGGTGTTTTCTTCCTGAATATTATCATGGATTCACTCAAAAGAGCGAGTACCAGAGGAGGAGATCCTTTGACTGCAAACATATTTTTTTAAACGATTTGATTTAAAAAATGGTAGGTTCGAAATGCAGTAATATAAAATAAGAGTGATTGGGTGTTTGTGTTTGCGTGAAAAATATGCTGCGTTGTCTTGCGCTCCGGAAAGACCCCCATTTGTTACGAAAAATGTGGTAAATGTTACTGACAACCATCCTATAGGGTCGGCATGTCTGAAAATGTACCTATTATTATAGTCATTGTTATTAATGTTATTTTGATTATTATTAGTATAATAATCATAATAACAGTAGTAGTAGTATTATTAGTATCATTTGAATGTTATACCCTTTCATTACACATCTAACCTCAGGTTCCACCAGCCATCCCCTGTCCGAGTCTCTGGCCCTGAACGCCAGCGGTGGTAGCGGTCAGACACCACGCCTATCATCCGGGAGTGACCAGACCTCTAGGATGGCAGGGGTTTCCCCCTCTCCGGGGACAGACCTGGAGGATGAAGATTCAGACTGGGATAGCTGGGATGAAGATGAAGAGGTGAGATGGTTAAAGCTTCTTTTTTTGTGTGTGAACTTCTACTACTTACATTAATCACAATGTACATGAAAAGGAGAATCTATATCAAAGCCTTAGGGAATTTAAGAATACCTCATGTCTTTCACATCTTTGATACAAAATTAATCAACTTTCAATCTGTTCACAATGCAGGATTGTATTACATATGTGACTAGGGCTCTCTTGCATAAAGAGTTGTTTTTAAACGCAACTCTGAAAATCAAACACAAGTCCTAAAATTTTAACGAAACTTTGCGTTTGACTGCAATTCAAATGCAACTCTTCCAGATCAAACGCAACTTTATGATAGATAAATGACCAAATCAACTGCAACTCTCTTCATACAATGCACACAAGTTGCGTTTGATTTGAGTTGCGATCAATCACAACTTGATTTTATGCAAGAGTGCCCTAGCATCACAAAACCACCAAAAAGATTTTTTTTAATAATTAAAAAATAAAAATAAATTAAATATTTTTTTAATAGTTTAGGTCTGATTCTGTAAGAGTAGATTCCCAGCTTTAAAATGATATATAATTACTGTTTAAAGAAAGGTTGTTCTTGACAACCCAAAAGCTTGCCAGAGGTTTGTCCGACACAGCAGCAAGTAATGTATGCAGATTGGATTTCAAGTATTGTAGTTCATTCATTGATAACAGGTTAATGGAATAATTCGTCACTAGGTCCCCAGGAAAGAAACATTGATAAATTTGAATTTGTTAGTAAACCAGTCTATTGGATGTTCCTAACCCATCAAAGAAAAAAGAAAATGTCCAGTTCCAAAGGAATGTTACTTTAGAGAAAAGGGCGTAGTAATAAAGCCTGTTGTCTATATTGAAGCACTCTTTACTCCCAAGGTACTTTGAAAGGTAACAAAAGAGGGATTACATCGCCGTAGAAATTCATGTGAAGGGATTATCAGATTGTTGGATTATCACTAGTTAAGGCACCAGTTAAGCACATCCTGTTATTCATTTTGCCAGGTATCACTATAAAGGCTTACCAGTACTCTGTTTTAAAGTTATGGGAGATCAACATGAGACTAGTAGGCGTGGTTGTTAAACTCAAAAGCACACAAACATTGGTCTACAAAACACTGCCAAAAATACAACTTCTAGATTGTTTGGTGCATCCATTCTTATGTAGAAGTACATAGGGATTAATGTATGTTGAAGAACAACTTTTACATCCTAACAAAATTGAATGTTTAGTAAGTGATGTTAGATGATTAATCAACCATTCTGTTATATGGAGGGTTTACAATTATATAATTACAATTCAAAACTTGTGTTAAGATATATTTATACAAAATTGCTTTTGGTGATTAACTTACTCTGTTCACATTGATGTATATTTCATATGTAATGTAATTTGTATGTTATTGTAGTTTGGTTGTATAGCGCTTAGAGACTTTGGTGGATAGCGCTTTGTTAGCACCATTTTATTATTATTATCATTATTATGAAAACAGATAATAATAATAAAAATAATAGTGGGTTCTTCTATAGTGCTCATGTCTGTCAAACTTGATGACTGAGAGGACGAGAAATGCTCATACTCTTACCTCATTCTCATCTTTCAGGACCAGTCTGTCTTTCAGGAGGCCATGTCAGATTTCCTTCGCCAACTTCAGGGATATCTGGGTAAGATCAGAAAAACATATATTTACCAACACTTTTCAATAATTTGTTGTTGAAATCAAACATTACAGTTTGATTTTGCAAAGAATTCATTATCGTTTTTGCTTTAAAGGAAGGTCTCACTACTGGATCTGCTTAAATTACTAATATTTGCCTGCATATAATTGTTCATGAATGTTATAAAAGTAAAATTTAGGAATTCACCTTGTTTTCTCTCAACTATTTAATTTGTTTTCATGAGATGACAGTTTAGAGTAGAAATGAAATTACAAAAAAACAAATGAATGTGTTGCTGTTGTAATGAATGAATTTGTATTACTTTGATACGTTCATGTTAGTTTATCTTTTTTTTAAGTAAGTTGTTGATGAAGAATTTTAAATATGAATTAGACCAACGTTGTTTATTTGATGCATGAGCAAAAAGTAGAAAGTAGAACATAATCCTGTTCATTAATTTTGTCAAAATTCATCTTGTGATTTGCAGGATCCGACACATTCAATGCCGAGCTAAACCATTTAAGTAGCGTTGAGAGACAGTTCATCAGACGCTTGCTCAGCAGCTGAGCCACCTCTTCCAAGACCTTCCCCCTCTCCTCCCCCTCCCCCAATCCTTCAGTTATCTCATTCCAACTGAAGCAGATTCATCTGTATTGTTAACACATGATACAGCAGTGGTCTCGTAACCAGGAAGTCCCGGGTTTGAAACCAAGTCGATGCGTTGGTGCCTTTTGGTAAGGCGTTAATCCTCATCACCAGGTCCCTCAGAGAGGACTTAAAGTCGTCAGTCCCCTGGTTGCTTACTTACTTACAAGCATGCTGTCTTAGCAGCGAACCAGTCTGATTGGTTGGGCTCTTTGGGACTCTCCCTTGCAGTCACTACAATCACCAATTTTCTGTTGGTAAAATATATTACAACAAAAAGAAATTAATAAATAATAAACACTCCTTTCCAGTATGAGTTAACTCTTGCACATTATTCAAAGAGTCTGTATGGCAGTGGGCTATTATTAAAGACCATGAGTGAGTTTGTGGCTATCATATAAATGGATATCATAAAAAAAGTAAGGCAAGCGTTCAAATTTCTGTGTGTGTTGATTTGACGCGAGATGCAGTACTATTGTTATCCGATCATATTTTGTCATCTCAAAGGATCTTCATTACTTTTGGGTGATGAAAACAAATAGAGTTTTCATAAAATATTTAAACAGCATCTAGCTGATATTCTGTTTATTTAAAATACATTAGATTGAAGGGATAGATTCAACCCTTGTGGCAGAGTTTTTTTTTTGTCTAAGATTTTTGTATGAAAATAAATTTAAAGACAAAGGAATTTAACATCTTCCTAACATCAAGATCGGCATTATCTTGCAACTGATCTTTCTTTGGAGTAGGTTTAAGTATGGACCGTGATACAGCATTCTTTGCCTAGTTCAAAGAGCATCATTTTACAAACAATCAATGGAACAAGTTCACCGACATCCCATTGCGACACATGAATTAAGAGTAGCACAATCTGATTCTGCCGAACTTGTACCAATGAAGGTCGAGTAAAACAACGCCAGATCTTCTTCTTGTCTATCTACAGTAAACCACATCACACATTTGTAAGTTTTTTAATGTGCTGCAGTTAAGGATGAATTTTAAAGGGGATTTCTTTTTGTTGTTTTTGCCAAGCTGTACACAGCAAGGTTTTAAATTTGGTTCTGTTTGTAGAGTTGCCTACCTCAGATGAATTTTTTGTGTGCAAATTCCTTGCAGTTGGTCAGTTTTTAAGTTCCAAACAAGATCAATTTAATTGTTTTTGTACCTCATTTGTACATGTGTAAATCATTCTTTTTAATAGTAACTAGTGTAAAAGCAGTCAATTCATATACAGTACATTTAGTCAGGTAGTCTGGTCAGAACCAGACAATTTATATGGTCGATCCACTTTGCATTAGTGGCCTTCGCAAAGTGTTTACAGAATTGCTGAAATTTCTATTTATTGCCCTCTCAAATACATGTATTCATGAAGGCCAGTTTATGCTGCTGTAAAGCAGGAAATTTTACTCTGAAATTTAAGCACTACTGGTAGTCAGTTCCTAGTAGACAACAGACTATCACTTTTTGTGTGTATGTGATGTAGTATTGATGGTAGTATGTAAGTAGGAGCTATGTCTTCAGTAAAAACAACAACTTGATACACAGACTACGGGACTCGCTGAAACTGGCATTACACACCAGAACCTTCACTAATTGTGTCAGAAACTTATATGTAGGCCTGTCAATTGTGTGACAGAACAATTTTGTGATTTCTAAAGTTTATTTTGTTGTTGCCTCATTCCAGCTAAGTTTCTTTAGGTACCATTTGTGACTTATAAACTACATTCTTTGTAGTAATAAATGGAAATTCTTGGCACCAAACAAAGCATTTTTCAAGCAATTGCTTGAATGGTCAATAAAAACATGTCTAGACCAGTCAGTTTAATTGTATTCAATGTAATGCAAAAGTACCTGTGCCAAAATGTAAATGATATTCACCTAGCTATTAACCCATTGCGTACCTGAACCAGGTGGCTCCTGTATTTAGTCTATTATAATTAGAGAATTTCAAGTTAAAAAAGAAAAGTATATTATTTGAGTGCATTTTTAAACTAGATTTTTGGTTTTCCCATCAGTAGGAACTAAAATGTTCAGTGGGAACTGATGTGGAAAGGGGAAGGTGATGCAGTGTTGTAAATAATTGAATGGATGCGCCAGTATGAGACTTGAGTAATTGTAAACGTTTTAGAAAAAAATTATTGGTACTCCTATTGATTATGATATCCAAAGAATTGCCTGTCTGATTCTAGTGAGTGGCCTTTGGGATGACTTTACTCTGTAACTACTTAATACCAGTTTAGAGGAGAAAGCCTACGCTTCTCAGAAATAATATATCAGTGACACAAAGACGTAACTCCATATTTTTGCCAAAATGGGTATTTGATATCAACATGTTCAGAAAGATGTGGGCTTTCCAGGAAACACAAAGACTTAACTCCACCCAAAACCCCATTGAAGTCAATTGCTAGTGAAACACAGACTTATCTCCTTACGGCCCAAGTGCTCAGTGACACAAACCACTTTTTCTCAAAATGGCCACAATGGAGTTACATCTTTGTGTCACTGGACCCTTTGGAACATCAATGTACAATAGTATAATCCAGGGCAATGAAAAGAGATTTCTGTGATGTAAGTTTGCCAAGAAGAAAGTGTTTGTCACATCCAAAATGAGATTATGCTCAATTTTTTAACCTTGGCGGTCCCAAGAGTGAAAACATGTCTTTCAAGATTTGAATGAAATTAAAATGTACATAAAGGATTGCCTTGGAAAGTAAAACACAAAAGTAGTGTGGCCTTTAGCAGAATCTTTAAAAAGTGCTCTTTTGTACTTGTGTGCCAATCCTCAGCTTCTTTTAGAGAAAAACAGAATTCCTGATTGTTTTTGATGTGCGATTTGGGAATTGTAATCCTTTTTTTTTTTTTTTGGATGATTGTTGAAAGGATAGATTATACATTTGCTATTTAATCTGTTTGTGTATAGATTTACTGTATGGTTGTTTACAAATCATCTGTACATTTTCAGACAAACTTTAGGAGTTCCTATACCACATTATTACTCAGTACGTTGTATATATTGTGCAACTAAAGCCTTGTTTAGATATGATGTGGCGAAACCCTAACGTTTTTTTTATAGAAAGTGTAATCAAAGTGTAATACTCTTATACATTTTAGTATCTTGTCACACAGAGCTACGAGAAGTTTGAAAAAACGGCAGCATTTTGTTTTTTTGATTGTTTATACCACACCATGTCTAAACAAGCTTTAAGTTCAAAGAGAAAAAGTAATCTATGATGGAATGAAACACTACGTTATTCTTGATCTCTTGCCATGTGTAAAGAATCTATCAGATCAAATATATCATTTGTTGTGTTAACATTTAAAGGACAATTCAAACCTTTTATACTAAGGTTTTATGGCTTTTGGAGGTATTCACCCGATGTCGTCATGTTTTCACCCAAATGTCATTTTGTTTTGTATTTATGGTAAGATTAAGTAACATTTATTGACAGCCATTTTATACAAGCTCAAATGCTACATAAGATGAAGAAAGAAAAGCACGGCTTTATCTTTTCTGCATGTGAAAGAAAAGGATTGAAATTGATGCGACTTTGTTCTTTCTCTCTCATGTAGTTACTTGTATCATATTTTAGTGTCCAAGATTTTAAACAGTGCTTCTTATTCACATTTCATAATGTGTCTTGTACATAAATGTACTTTTGTATAAAAGCTATTTATAGATCTTTGAACGGTAGTGTTTCTTTCATGTAAATATTTGGCGCAGTGTGTCTATGAGCTAGCTTGTGCAATAAACCTGTTTAAAAGTGAAATATTTTCTCTATTATCCTTCTATCTCTCTGTCTCTTTTTATTGCTATGCATTTTGTTCCATTCTCTCTCAATCTATTTCTTTCCTCTTTTCCTCCCTATTAAAAATGTTGGTTTGTTAAAGTGCCATTCTCTTTTTCCTTCTCCGTCTTCTGTCTTCTTAACTCCATCATCATTTTTATCCCTCATTATCATTTTTTCTACATTTGCTGTACATGCAATCTTACTAATTTTTCCTTTCTGTTCATTTTATTGCCTTTGCCTTTTTTCTTCTTCATTTTGATTTTGTGGATTTACCTAAAGAACAATTATTTGAGAATATATTATTGTCTGACTTTAAGATGTGATGTATTATGATGATGCTTTGTGTATTGTAGAAGAAGAAGAAGAAGAAAATCAACCTAAAAGTCTGGTTAATACATTCCATTATTGTGCGGCTTTGTGCTCAAATCCAGCTATTGATGTAATTGTGTACTCTAACGTGAATGAAATAACAATGATTGTTTTATTTTTTCTAAAGGGCAAGATGTACTTAATTATTGTATCAACATGCTTTAGTGGTTTGAACTTTGTAATGTTGTTGCCCTCTTATTGTGCTTACTGTTAATGTGCCTTCGGATTTTCTCGTAGATGTGTATTCAAATGTATAGATACTCAGTACTAGAAGATCAACTTTTTAAATGTATAAGTTATTCGGACAATGCATTTTTTAAATGGAGATAACTTTATGCAGAAGTTCATATGTATTTTGCTGGATCACCTTGCTTAGTTTGGAGATTTTCGCCATTAATTTTAACTATTTTCTTGAACATGTATATACTTTTTAAGTGTTTTAGAAACTCAGTAGCCTGTTTTCATGAGTTATGTGAACCCCTTACAACTTGAGTATACGTTAATCTAGGTATAATATAAGGTTGATAATGGTTGATACAGAACAGCTTAGTAAATTGACTTTTCTGACTTTTCAAATAAGGGAATTGCAAGTTGATCAATATCTTGTATTACGAAAAGTTGCATTTGTTAATAAATGTCAAAACTCCTCAAGCTAAAATGATAAATAAGGCATTGTAACTTTGCTAGTGAATTTGGGGCTTGTGACTGATCAATTGAGATCAATTTGAAACTCTTCAAAGAAAGGGCCTAGGACTATATTTATTTAAAAATTTGCCAGTCAAATGCAAGTTACAATCAAACAACTGGTGTCACATCAGCCGATTAAGCTTTCAGCCATTACTGTTTTGTTGAAAAAATGAGGGAGATTCTGATTGGTCAGTCCGATAGGCAGATTATCTAGGGCTGTAACTTGTTTCATTCAAAAATTACATGAAATGGAGGCCCTTTCATTGCTTTAGGATTTTAAAAAAAATACAAAATACAAAATCGATTTCTCAATAAACAGTGTATCACTGTTGTAACGATTTGATGTAAGCTACCTTTGCTTAATTGAAGAACTCAGATGAAATCAGAGATGAAAAATGCAGATAAATCGTACTAGTTGTGCTCTAATTATTCAGGCATGTAAAGTGAACAGTATAAATTATCAAGCAGTGATTTTTGATTAATCACTCCTGGGGGGTATTTCACAAAGATCCTAAGTTGAACTTATCTCTAAGATGGACTTGATAATTATGGAAAGCCGTTAGCATCATTGAAAAT